GGTCAGCACTTGTACAGACAACGCTGTTAACACGCTTGGAAGCACATCTGACCTGGATGTTGATAAATTCGCTCTCTTTTCAGGACATATCAACTGTTTGGCCCATATTATTAATATAATTTCGGAGTAATTAATTAAATGCTTTGATAATTTAAGCTCAAGTAGTTCTGAAGAAATATCGTCATTAGAAAACGACAACGAGGATGATAACCCTGAAGAAGAGTGTAGCGTTGCCAGCCCTCAATCTGAAAAGGCTAAAATCTCTTATATTGTAGAGGTCCCATTTCATGGTGGAGTCCCTTACGTTCTAAAAGGACTAAGCTTACTGAACAAGGAAGTCCGTATTTTAGACGATAAACTTAAAATATATAATGATATTGTCAAGGGACTAATCCCAAAATACATTTCTGTTCGATGGAATATCAAACTTGAGATCCTTAGAACGTGTGTTGAAATTTAAGGAATTCGAATTTCTTTTAAGAATTGTAATGAAGACGATATTGTAATAGATCACCAACTTACATATGCCGATAAACAACGAGCTGAATTATTAGTAGATATGTTGGCACCATTTGACACTTTGACAAACTATGTGTCAGATGATAAGCCATTGGCTATGAGCTACGTTCCAATTATCATGGAACTTGAAAACCACGTTAAAAGATGCACAGAACGTGCTAGAACAATGAACATGTCAATGGATTTTAGTCTTGTTATTAATAAAACCCAAAAGTATCTTAAACAAGCCGTAACTTGTTATGAGACTCTTTTCTTGTCAGGCACTTTAAATATTTCAAGGCGTATTGCTATCGCAGACATGTTTAAATCAATCTGTGGAAGCTCGTTGTATACTAAAGATGAATACACAAAGATTGTTTGAAGAACTTGATGGCATGAGAAGCCTCAAAAAAGTAAACGAGGATAAAAGATATTAACAATAAAACTTCAGGCTTCAGTTATATGTATATTAGTATATATTTATATTAGCATAGTTGTATATTACCATGCTTTCTTACTTATTTGAATTGAGCTATTTGTAGTGCTGCTTGTTATAGAAGTATTGAATTAAATAATTCAAGCCCAAGATATCACGTGACCGACCGCCCTGTTGGGGTGGGGTTTTTTTAAAACAAACCCCACCCCTTGCTTAGATACATTCGAAAAACTGTTACGTAGTATGAATAAATGCATAAATTATGTAAAAACTCCTAGAAGAAAAACGAATACGCATTCTAAAGGTCCGTCCGTATCCACGGCAACTACGTTCTGTCACTTGATTATGTTATATTTTAACGTTTACTAAGATGAAAATGTATAGTAGACTGAGAGAGGTAAAATCTAACGTTGAAGAGTGAGGGTTAGATGTTTAAAGTGTAAATATGCATGTTGTTCAGGCGAACGCCCTATCTTAATTATTAACCAAGAATGATTGTTCGCCTTAATTTGCTGAGCACGGATAGGAGCAGGTCCTTGAGTTTGAGGATTCAACTCTTCAGCGTAAGTTCATTTAGAACTAAAAAATTATGCCAATCATTTGTTAGAATAAATTTCTATAAGCAAAAGATTTTCTTCGGTGTCATCCGATAATGTCCAACTTGAAACTCCACAAAAGGCGTGTTTGTTGTGTGTTGGCAATGTCAGGAAAGTATTCACCTAATGCCTGTCAGAGATTATCCACAATACAATGTAAACTTGCAAACAGGCTATTCTCCTGAAAAAATGCAAGAATTTATTTGTTTTGTACCCTATTGTGTATAAGTTATAAAATAGCCTCGACTACCTTGCTGCTCAATAATGAAATTGAGGATATGTAACCTTTTAGTAGTCTCTCTGGTCCACTGAATATAAAGTGCCATGTTTCTGTTATATTTCAAAGATATATCTATTGAAACTGTAATGTTTACTTTAATATTGTTAAACTTTATGTCTAATGTGCATTTCCTATTGACATTGAAGGTAATCTTCTGAAAGACCTTCCATTGTTCCCGGATGTTTCGTCCAATCCATTTCCTTACTCATTTTCCCGAGAAATGTCCAACCAGAAATGAAGAATTACCATAATAAGAGGAGAAATTCAAGATAGCCTTTCCTCCTCCCTTTATAAATTTTGAAAATATAAAGTACTAGTTACTGTTTGGCTAACATTGTTGATCATTACTTATCATGAGATTTAAATTTCAATTATGTTGCTATTTATGACGTTGCACATATGTTCTACCTCAATTTAAATTCATAATGATACTCCATCTTTACTTGAAAAGTACAGCAAGATCATATAAGATGTATAAATTGAAATTCTGAACATTGGCATATCCCATTTTTGTAAAAAAGACTCACTTCTGATCGGCTCCTGACTCCCGGAACATGTACGCTTAGTCCACTTATCGTAAATATCAGTGCCTCGTACCACTATCTATCTGATGGGGTTAATGAGTTCTTTTTGTTGGTAGTTAGTTACTTATGCCTGTCCAATCTAATTTTTCCCTGTTTGGACACAGAGCCGTGTTACAACCTATTTATCTATCACCTTCGATCGTTTTAGGAGTAAAAAGGAGTAGAGGGCAATAATTATATCTTTCATGCCTACCCCGAATGTAATTTTTTCCAAAACTGGCTCCTCTTTATTTGATTAAATTGTAGAAATTATTGAACCCGGTGAGAAGTTATATGAAATCGAACCTGATACCAGGAATTCATTTTCTGCACCGTGGTCTCTGTATATAAAATTACGTCCTAAGGGCTCGAATAAATACTAATATAATAGAAGAAAATTTTAGTTAGGGAAGTTATCCTACATATAGTGGTCTAATAGTAAGTTTATAAACAATGGAAAAAAGTAATTATGTATGTGCATTGTCCTCTCTTCAATTCCACTTCAGCTTGATTGCTTCATCATAAGTTGGATAGTCAATATACCCCTTACCAGTTTGGTCGTAGAATGTATTTCTATCGTAGGCATTTAGTGGAAGGCCTTCTGCTAGACGGTGTGGTAAATCAGGGTTAGCAATCCAATATCTACCGAAAGCTACCAAAGTTCTATCATTGTCATTAACAAAGTGTTTGACATCATTTGGATGCAATGCCAAGTTACCTGCTCTAATAATAGGACCCTTCCAGATTGAGTAAGCGAAGTCGTTAGAACCTTCTTTGTATTCACCCTCACCTTCAGCCAACCATGGATTAGTTACACGAGGTTCGGAAAGATGAATGTAAGCCATCTTCTTACCTGCTCTTGCTCTCTTTTCTAATTCACCAATGACATAGGCAAATTGGGCCAATAAAGTTGGGTCATGACCACCGGACATGCTACCATAGACACCCCAGGGTGTTAATCTAATACCAACCTTTTCTGCACCTATCTCACCAATAACAGCGTCAACAGCTTCCAGTACAAAACGAGCTCTGTTTTCAATCGAACCACCATACTCATCAGTCCTATGGTTTGATTTAGGGTCCAAAAATTGGTTTAGTAAGTACCCAAAGGCACTATGAACCTCAACACCATCTGCACCAGCAGCAACGGCGTTTCTTGCAGCAACTTTGAAATCTTCGATATATTGTTTGATTTCAGGGATTGTCAATGCACGTTGAGGATTTTTAGCCTTTTCAGAAATTTCTTTGAACGAATCATCAATGTAAATATTATCGGAAGCAGAAACATAAGGTAAACCATCTCTGGCTAAAGTGTCCGCCTCTGATTGTCTACCTAAAGTCCATAGCTGCATGAACACGTAAGATTTGTTATCGTGGATTCTCTTGAAAATTGGTTTCCATGCTTCAACTTGTTCTTGGCTCCAAATACCTGGCGCATTATCATAACCACCAGCTTTCTTGGAGATAAAAGTAGCTTCTGTGATAAGTAAACTACCTGGAGCTTTACTACGTTGGCCGTAGTACTCGGCTGCTAATTCGGAGTTTGGAACATTACCTGGGCTGGTTGCCCTCATTCTGGTAAGAGGTGGCATAACAGCACGATGGTTAAGTTCCATATTACCGACCTTGATAGACTTGAATAAGTTTGTATCCTTTAGGGCGACTGGCTTGAAATCCTTGTTAAATGGCATGGTTAATTGTTGTTGTTGTTGTTGTTTTGTTTTGTTTTGTTTTGTGATGTCTTCCAGTTAGGAACAATTAGGAAATAGAAATGAAAATAAAAATAAGATCTGGCATTGGTAATGACGGTCCTATTTATACATTTCCAATTGATGGAAAATGCAAGATTTTTATTTGTAAAATCAACTTTCTGAACTTATATTACGAATATGATTTTACTCGAGAAATGCTTATAAAAGCATAACTTATTTGTAATTCATATGCACTATTTCTTTTTTTTGGAGGTGTTCGGAGACGGAGCAAAAGGGCTGAAACACGGATACACGGGAATTTCAAAATCAACACCTCCGTGGAACAAATAATAAAGTACAAAAACGGGGATTGGTTACGATATACGGGGTTCCGTGCTTCCGTGATTCCGAATTCTCCGTGTAAATCGTCAAACCTTGGATCAGTACGGTATTTTCAACGCGCCTTATTAATAAGTTTCCAAGAAACGGAAATGAAAAAAGATTCTGCAAATTGAATGAATGATATAGGGGGCAAGCACGGATGGAATGAAACATATTTTAATTTATATGCTGAGAATTCTTAAAGAGACCGCAATAAAACATTACAATCGACTAAGGGTTACGTTTAAAAGGTGTTTGTGTATAAGAACAATACCCGTAGAAATCAATTAATTTAACATTAAATTTAAAATAGGTGAGATAATCTGAAAAGACAAATATGAATTAGCAATAGTGGCTGTTTGTGTTTGAACTTATATAATTTCATTATATATCATACTTGATAAATTATATACTTTCGAAGGTAAATATAACGTTTAGATTAATTATGAGTTTCCCGCTTATAACTGGTATTCTAAACCTTCTCTATACACACAGTATAAATGATGGATAATTGCATTATCAACATCCCATATGCCATTCTTGTAGAATGCATCGTTCTTCAAAATTTTGATAACATCATCCTTGGTTTCAGCTTTAATAGTTAAGTTAGAACCAATTGGTTTTCTTGGGTTACTATCGTCGTTGATTTGCCCACCCGTTATCATACTACCATTCTTAATTGCCCCTGGAAGACCATGCACATGCTGATCAAAGACGGACATTCTGTCCGTACCTGGTTTGTCGTAAACAATTACACACCATTCATTTAATTCGCCCATTTCGTTATTATTTTTTCAATCAATTTAGTTTACTATAATATCATATTCTGATGCCATATATCATTTACTGAAAGAATAGCATTAGTTATGATACTCTTCCCTTTTTATATTCTTTCTATTTTGATTTTCTAATTTTGAGTGTTCCGCTTCCTTAAAATTCAACTTCTTCAGTTATTTCCGCCTCTACTTCCGCATCCGTCGCTCCAAGTAGCAGTAAACCGGTTCCTGCCTTTGTTAGATAGTTGCAATGTCAGGATAGAAAGCCAGAGTGGTTTTCAATTGGTATCTGTGTTGCATACTTATTAAGACCCTCATTTATGGAAGAAGGAAACACTAAATTTATAAATATGTTTAGGTAATACGAAGATTCTTAGAAAAGACTCCGAGTTTCACCAACCTCGAACTTGTGAGGGCTTGTTTCTATATATTCGAATTTCCAGAGAAAGATTTGAATGTCAACAATATAGTATATATTTTTAATACTACATACCGAATTTATTTTCTTGCCTAACCCAGTACTTGGAGGTATATTTTTATTAAGAATAACTGAAAGAAGCAAGGTGTTCTGAGTGGCAATGGAGAAACAAATTCGATAGCGTACAGTAACAATCTTTGAACAGTAGGTTCTAAAAAACCACGAGTCTATATATTTAGAGGTAATAAAATTAATTTATTGTCTTGGAATTTTGGCTATATATTTCGCAGTTCCTTCGAACCTTTGCCTCTTCATAAAGGCTCACAAACTGGAAAAAACAAATTGAATTTCTAGAACGACTAATCATTGATACCCAGACAATAAACTGTATTTTATCTATTTCACATTCATCACGTGGAAACAAAAAACACAGGTATTCATTCTAACTTATTTGATTAGCGAGCTTATAAACCAAGCAATAATCTTTTGTGTCCCTACCCATTAGATCTGTGTTAGACATGGCATTATGGGAAGCGATTACCTTGAACAAAAACCTTAACAGTTTCCATAACCTATTACGGAACTTATATAATTATTTTTACTGAATTCTAATTCTTTTTAGAGGAATGGTGTACGCTCATTAAGAGCAAAATAATAATAAACAATACGACAAAAAGTCAGTAGTTGAACATAAAAAAATACTCTTATCTAACTTGGTCTGAGATGAGGGTGATTCTTGTATGAAAAGGGAAGAAAAGGAATACTAAACATATATAAAGAGTATGGATTATTAGAAGTAAAAAATACATATGTCCTCAATGTGACGTATATTAAATGTTGAGTTTGAAAGAGAATCAAGAAGAATGAATTGTATAATACTAATTAGAAACTATGAATAAATAGAAAATAGAAAAAATAAAAAATACTCTACAAGATAATACTACTAGCAACGTAAATATCTATCAATTTTAAATGGTATTTGATTTATATTTGTATTTACTGTTTTCTGAGGTGTTTAACTGTAAAATACCTTTAGCAGTATTACTTTGTAATTTTTTTTATATTTAGATAAATTTTTATATTTAGTAGCCGTTGGAGGGTCTTATAATTACTAAACCTAAGTAAACAAAAAAACAAAAGTGATAATCATTCACCAGATAGTGTTGGACAATTTCCAATGATCTGTGCTAGAAACAGCATCTTAACTCAAAACAAAATACAACAATAAAATTCAATTATTTCCTAAAATTAGATGATGTATTAGTAAAAATCTCAACAATTATCATTATATTATTATAGAAGTCTCAGCATAGAGCCCTGCGTTCATATGTAAATCTTCCAAAAGTAGAACTTTCTTATTTTAAAGATATTCAACCTATCGCTTAATGAAGCTGATGTTCTTCAATGAATATTGATATTTACATTAAGTGCGTCTGTTATATACTGATCAAATTGGCTAGATTTTTATTTATTTTTATAGATGAGAAAAATAAAATTTCCAATCCTTAATGGATATTCAAACTTTTCTCTAAGTAATCGACGCTTGGAATAGATTTCACATTACCTAGGCCGACAATTGAAATAGGTTTATTCTTCAGCATATGGTTAGCCCAGGTGACAATATCGTCTTTAGTAATTTTATCCACCTTTTCAAACACTTCTTCAGGTGATAATCTTTTACCAGTAGTAACAATCTGTCTACCCATATCCTCTACGATAGCTGTAGATCCATCTAGTGAAAGTAGCAATGCCGCCTTTAATTGGGATTTAGCTCTTACTACCTCACTATCGGAGATATTTCCAGCTTTGATTCTCCTCCATTCCTTCATTATTTCGTCAATAATTAGCTTTGCATTATGTTCTTTTGAGTCAGTCACAATGTACATACCCCACAACCCAGTATCTGCGTATGAAGTGGAAAAGGACATATAAGAATTGGCTAAAGCACCATTATTCGAGGCAGCGACAGCTAATGGAGATGGTGAGTTAGTACCAGCACCGACTGCTCTATCCCAGTTCCCTACTATAGCCTGTGTAGCAAGAGCAATAAAATAATCTGGTGCTGACCAAGAGACACCCTCTAATGCAATGGCTATATGAGTCGTTGGTAATGAATTTTCCTTAATAAATCTCTCACCTCTGTTGAAAACAGGTAAGGCACCACGAGGGGATCCCAGGGGTACTGGAATTGCAGATTTTTCAATATGTCCAAAATATTTTTGTGCTTGCTTAACCAAATCTTCATGGTCGACAGCACCCGCACCAGCTAGAACCATTCTATCACCTTTATAATTCGTAGATATATAGTTTTTTAAATCGTTTCTCGTGATAGATTTAATATTCTCAATAGGTCCTAATATAGTTCTTCCCAAGGGTTGATCCTTAAAGGCTATTTCATGGAGATGGTCAAACACCACTTCGTCGTACATTTTACCAACTTCTTCACTTTCTCTTATGATAACGTCTCTCTCTCTCTCAATAGCTCTTGGGTCCAGAACAGATTTTGTAAGAATATCACTTAAAATATCGACTGCTTCAGGAATGTCCTCTTTCATAGATTTCGCATAATAGACAGTATTCTCTCTAGATGTATAAGCGTTCAAATGCGAACCAATATTTTCGATTTCTAGTTCTATTCCTCTTTGAGTTCTACTTTGGGTACCTTTAAACGCAAGGTGTTCTAAGAAATGTGCAGTACCATTATTCTTCACATTCTCAGCACGAGAACCTGCATCAACGAATATACCAACTGTAGCACTTGAAGTTCCAGGAATATATTCAGTGGCGATGGTCAAACCATTGGGTAGAACAGATGTCCTTGTATTTTGCAAAGCAGCGGTGGCTATCTGCCTGACATTTCTCAAATTTTTAAAACCTAAACGACTTAACATCTTCAGTAATTAGTAACTTCTTAATACTCTAGATAGATATATAACCAATTGTTTGACAGATAGGATCACTTTATCCTCTTCTAATCCGTGACTCTTATATAGTTTATTTGTTTTAATTCATAGCGAAATATCTATTTCCCTCATTGTTGTCGATTAGTAATTTTGAACCTGGCGGCCAGAGACGTCCGGTTAAATATAGGGTTTCCGAAACCCTATATTTAACCACCCAAAGAATAACTAATATAGAAATGTCAACCCACATAAGGGTAAAAGTGTAAAGACTCAACTGTTGATAACCGGTTATGCAGTTACATCTGATTGTAATATATATATAAATTGATTTTTCTATATACAGCTATGTATATTGTTTCAAGTTCATCTTCATACTAGCCATGAAGTTGTCGTGATTGAAGTCCTCGCGCTTGGCGATGTACGATTCAATTATATCTCTTTTCAAAGTAGCCAAGTGACCCTCTTTTGTAAGGGAATCTAGGAGATCTGGCTGTACTGTAAATATATTAGCAAGCTCTCTCAGCGTGGCAAATTTTTCCAGTAAATTAGGTATACGCCAGTCCTCAATAACGGTTTGGAAACCAATAATATCCTTTGTCACAATGATACCACCTATTGAACTGACTTGGAACTTGGAATAGTGATTCAGCAACAATCTATACAATTCCTCTCCAATATTGTCAAGGAATGCATTCAAATTCTTCTCCTTTAGGTATACCGATGCTTGAGTATGCAATGACGATAATAGATTTGTAATCTCCACTGCTGGTAAAGTATCTTGATCTAATAAGTCTTGAGATTTTGGTATGAAATCTTTCTTGTTTTGCTTTGTTAATATATTGGACAATTTAGCCGAATAAACATTTGCAATTTCATCAATAATGATATTAATTGAAATTTCACATTTTCGTATATTATTATTCGTCAGCTCAATTATTTGTTTCTTGGCATCTGGAGCATCATTCAAGAGAGGTAAGAATATCGCTTTAATGGATGTAGAGACGAGATTTAAGATATCTGTACTCTTGGTAATATAACTCAGGAAAGATAAGTTGAAGTCATCTAATTTGTAGATGTCTAACTGTTTCACTCTGTAAAAAGCAACCTCCAAGGACATCTCAACATAATTACCCACAATACCAAGGAACATAATATCTAGTAGCTCTAAACTATACTCACTAGATTTATTAGGAACCAATTCCATTACTCTGGCAATAGACTCTACAACACATTTTAACATGGAGTCTACGGTATCTAAGTTAAACGATGGATCTGAATTATCAGACATCGTATCGTCATTGTAGTCATTATCACCACTGATTGTATCCTTCAAGTTAGATAAGTGGGAACTACTGACACTAGCGTCACGGTCACGAGATAATGTGTTGGATCTTGTTAGGGATAAATTTGATAAATGATCCAATCTATCAAATCTTTTTTTCATGAACTCATTAAATTGCGATAATTTCCTCTTTGATGTTGTCGCCGTTTGAGTGATAAATTCTTCATAATGTGTATTACCATCTTCATCCTTCTCCATCATCTTACCTAATTTATTTAGCAACATCTTGTCATTTATCTCTTTATTATGTTTGTTTGTAAATAGCGATGTCATATCAACCAGAATGTTCTCTAAATTTCTTTTTTCAATGTCAAAATATCTGGCTCTATCATAAAGATACCTCGAAAACATATCTGAACTACATTGTTCTAGAACTGTTATGATACTACTATTATTATTGTTATCTAATGCACTTGGGATCAATTTCAAATCTGTTGCGTCTTGATCAATATCCAATATTTGGAAAAATTCCGTTAGATCCTTCACGAATTGACCAATCAATGAATACAGACCATGTAAAGTTCTCACATAGGCTAAATTCGACAAGGATAAAGAATTATTTAACAATGTATCCACTTTTGGTTCTATCTTTTGTACAAAGACTCTTTGAATAAACAATTGCATAACGTGTGAAGCTCTCTCTTCAAAGACACCCTTAACAATCTTAGATTCATTCTTAATGACAGATTCAATATCATTTAACATGTTTAATATATTTTGTTCATAAACCACAGTGTGAATATTTTGATCCATGAGACGTTTCTTGAATTGATCATCTATTTTCAATTGTTCATCAAGTCCTATCTCGTCACTATTAATGAAGTATACATGTTGGTTGATAAAACTTTGAATCACATTAATCCCACCATTAAAATGGTTCAAAATCAATGCAATCTCATTTAACTGATTAAAATCATTTTCACGATAAGCTGCGTTAAAATTTTCTAGTAAAGTTGTTTCCATCATTTCAGAATATTTTTCAATTAGTTCTGTAACTTCACTAGTCTTTGGAATCGCTGTAGTTTCAATTTTTCTAGATAATTCTAATAAATTTTTAATATATGTTGCAGCTTGAATCTTGTTTTTCCAATTTTTAGATGTTCTTAAATTTTCAATATTAGTTGAACCACCTGTGGTATAGAAATTTGAGTATTCAGTTATTAACTCAACCGATTTAACATAGTTTTTACGTTTACGTATTGTTGATTCCAATTTATCACTTAATGGCGAGACAATCTGATTCACATTTGTTAACTTGTTATCTAATTCACTAAACTGAATATTAATCCTTTGAATATCAGTAGCCAAATCAATTACGTTTTCGGAATGGACTAGTTCCTGTCTAGTCACTTCATCTTCAAACCGATTTTTTTTACTTACTGCATCATCGTTAAGCCCTTTCAACTCTTTCAAAGTTGACTCAAATGTTCTAATGAATGGCTTGGGATCTAATCTTTCCCAATTGGCGCTATCCTGTTCATCTTCTAATTGCATCCCATTGTCTCTAGTTCTGGTTCCATTATGCCCATACGATAGGGAAGAAGCTGCTTTAAGCGAGTGATCTTTACTTAGAGACTCTACAAACTCGTTTACTGTCAAACCACCCAGGAAGTTATCCAAAGTGAGTAGCCTCTGCCACTTAGGATCTAACTCATATAGCGAGTTCATCTATACGAGATATGCAAAGACAAAAAAAAATTGAATCTTGTTGTTGATACTATTTATCAAAGTAGTATGAACTTACAGTCTCAATTACTTCTTTTTCTTATCGAGGAAGTTTATCTTTTAGGATTATTTGTCCCTATTTAACGTTTTTACCAATTTGCTTTGCTCTGTTTGTCCTTATTTGTTATTGTTAGCTGGGAGCGAATTTTCCGATTTCATAATAAAGTGACTGCCAGCAATAAGGTGAATGTTAAGTACGTAGAATAAACAAGAGATGGATCATGACAGAGAGAGAAACTATCAGAGAGAACATGACGTTATCATTACTCCGTATAGCCAAATAAAGGAGTTTCTTTGTAGGACCCTCGACATAAAGATATCAAATTTTGCAAGGTACATATGTAAAGATTATCCTGGGGGTATAATACAGATCCTAACAATTCCAATGAACAACCATGTGTTATTAGAGACAATTGTAAAAATTAATTTTGTATATTGTATTTAGTTCAGGACAGCTTTCTGTTCTGCCAAGTTATTATTTGTTGAATATTGACAATTGCACACAACTAACTCGGACTTCGTTTATAAATAGGAAGTGCTCAAATTAACGTACATATTTATTATTCTTCGTAAGTTCTTTATACAGCGCTGTTGTAAAACAAATCAACTCAGCCAAATGCGCAGAAGAAGCTCGGTATTTTGTATAGATGTTGCTGACATTCCAAACACAATTCGGGAATTTTCACAATTCCGATGCCCAGGAGTTAAAACATTACCATTCACCGTAACAACTACATATCGTAATGGCTCGTTCACAAACAACATTTCAAGAAAACTTGTATGGCGATAACAACTCATGAAAAATACTCATACTCATGGGATTTTGAAACATGAGTATCATCTCAATTTGGTACTATTAAGAACTTGTATTAACTATATAAGGTGTATTTTAGGCTATTTATACTATGTTTATCCGTCGAAATCCAATCGGGTTGTCCGTATGTCTGTTCATTCTTTCACAATTGAAGATTGAAAGTTGGATAAAATACTCATGAATTTTTGGGTGTGAGTATTTTTCGATACACCGCAAAAAATATAAATTAGGTCCAATGTACTTCACTTTACCTCTACCAAACACCATCATCACTAAGATCATCATCACTAGACAGCTGTTGTTCAATACCTATGGCATTACGGAGTTATCCATCATCATATATTGTGTCAAGGTCGTTTGAACTAAAACCGAAAAGATGAAAATGATTCTTCAGACGCATAAACATACATCGAATTCGTCTGATCATTTTGGGATACATAGTAAATGTATTTGAATAGCTTAGTTTCCCTAACTGTAAAACTTAGAATATCTATTTGTGAATCCTCATGCTTAAAAAAACATTCTTTCTTTTTTTTTTGAATCAGTTTTTCATTTGTACCTTTAAAGTTCATTAATTTTGAGTAGTCCTGTGCAAAAATTTCAAGCATCAGGAATTCTGAATACCACCTTGTATCATTTTTTGGAGGTAATATTCTTTTGCTATATTTTAGGTAAGATGCTCTGATTTGAGAGGTGCCTTTCAAAAAATGAGCTTAGCCTTCAACATTATCAAGCATTCCATCAAGTTTCCTATTTGACTCACGATGCATAGAACTTGCTATCAGACTTGGTACACGAGCAGTACATCTGACAAAAAAGAGATCAAGTTCGATATCCAAAATATGAGATCTACCTTGAAGATTAAAAGACAGATTTTCTATTAAAGTTTTGTTGCTCGAAGCATTATCTCCAGTAATGGCGAAAACTTTTTCAGATATGTCATATTTCTTCAAAAGTGAGAATACATAGCCGCAGAAATTATTACCTGAGTGAACAACAGAAGTGACATCTACTAAGCCCAGTACTATCTTACAATGATGTTCATTTCTATTATTTTTCAAAAGTTTTTCTACGGATTCTGATTTTAACTGTGAGATAGGAGTGCTGTTTGATACAAAATAAGCTATTACTGCGAGATAAGACTCCTTTTTATCTGTTGTAGTCCAGATATCAAGAGCCAATGATACGAAAGCCGTCCCAGATAGTACAACTTTTATTTGTTTTTTGAAAAGGACGTTCAACGTCTTTAGCAAATTTCTTCAAAGTATGGCGATCTCTCATATACTCTTCATCATGAAATATTCTGCGATTCTCAATTGTCTGGCAAGCATTGAAAGACATATTTAAGGAAGTGTGGAAAAAAAGCTGATTGCTACGTTTATGATTCTTTCTGAAAACATGCAAAAGTTCTAAGCTCATCGCGACGGGCTTAAATTTAGGGGTGGTGGCTTCAAGAAAGAATAAACTGGACCATTTTCTTTTTATTTTCTTCGAATTCCTTCCTTTGTTCTTCACTGTGCCTGGTAATGTGCTTTCCAATATTGCTTGGGGGGCGTGATTTGATGTGAATTACGTGATTGCACATTTTACATCCTGCAATCAACAGATATCCATGCTTTCCAAATATTGAATCGACATTAGGGTTGTTCTTCAACTCCGCAAGTTCGTTAGGGAGGCTAAATTATGGGTTTCTTATTCTTGGAGGAGCTTTCTTCATTTCAACAAGCTCATATTCTTTGTTTTTAACAGTTATTAAGTTTTTTTTCCAATAGGATTAATTGCGTTCTTTTCTACACTGTCTGCTCTACAGTCTGTCTCGACCAAAGTAGCCTGATCGACCAAATCTATCATTGCGCTGTCCTGGTGGATTGTAGCTTCAATAGTGGTCAGAAGACTGCTTTCTTGATTTGAACGTACCTGTTGTCTTTTTGCAGCAAAAGTTCAACATTCTAACGTCATTATACAATCCGATATAATGCACTCTTATTGAGTAGTTATTCCATTGATTACATACGTATACCTTGCGATTTCATTTTTATAAATCAAAACAGGTGGTCCTCCTTTTATTTGTGTGCTTACCCTTTACGGGAACTCACTATAGACGGCCATACAAAATATAGAAATTTCGCCTCTTTCAGAATACTCATCTTTCGCCGTCCAGTGCACTCCATTCGCCAACCCTGAGTTTTTGTGCAGTGAAACGAAAAACAACCCACGATGTGACTGGGTTTTCTGCCACCCGTGCACCACCCAGGAAACATCTGTGCACCACACCTGGAAAACCCCGTCCACAGTTTTTTCCCACCGAAAAACATTTCTTCGCCGCACTCAAAATGAATGCAAAAATAAAAAGTATCGCCACGCCAAGAAACCGCCCGAAAAAGGAAAAAAACGTAATAAAGTGAGAATTCTTTGTCATCACCATTTTCATTCACAAAAATTTTGGGATTACACTCCGTAGATATAAAATAGTTTTTTGGCATCCGATGACTTGGAAATAGTTTTTGAACAAATTTTTATAATTTTTATTATTTAAGATTTATATTATTTCACGTTTACTCACGTCTTTACAACACTTGGTTTTGAAAGAAGCACTTAGTTTTATTATTTATCTATTACTTGCCGACAACACCAACGATTCGTCACAATGCAAATTTTCGTCAAGACCTTAACTGGTAAGACTATTACTTTGGAAGTCGAATCCTCCGACACCATTGACAATGTCAAGTCCAAGATCCAAGACAAGGAAGGTATCCCACCTGACCAACAAAGATTGATCTTTGCTGGTAAGCAATTGGAAGACGGTAGAACTCTATCCGACTACAACATCCAAAAGGAATCTACCTTGCATTTAGTCCTAAGACTAAGAGGTGGTGGTAAGAAGAGAAAGAAGAAGGTCTACACCACCCCAAAGAAGGTTAAGCACAAGCACAAGAAGGTCAAGCTTGCTGTCCTATCTTACTACAACGTCGATGACGAAGGTAAGGTCACCAAGTTGAGAAGAGAGTGTGATAACGCTACCTGTGGTGCTGGTGTTTTCCTAGCTGACCACAAGGACAGATTCTACTGTGGTAAGTGTCACTCTGTCTACAAGACTAACGCTTAAACAACGTTATATTAAATAACTTTTACATATTTTTATAATACGTTTTATTTTTCAATATAATATTTGCTTAGTTTTTTGTCATATGCTAATAATGTTTTTATTACAGTTTATTTACAATTTAGATGTATAAAATCGGAATATATATATATATTTATATTGTCATGCATGCATTCATCATTAATGTGCTTTCTTAGCGTCATCGAAGGCTTCGGTGAACAGATCTTGATAGTCTGTTAATATAGTAAATTTCCTGAGACTATCCTTAATAACAGCCTCGGCTGCTGCATTCATCTCAGTAACACGTCTAGACATTTGTAGACCAAGGTCATCAACAGTTTCGTTGACTTTGATGACTAAAGAATTGTTATCCCAATGTTCTTCCCATAGGGACCTTAACACTGAATCAAATCCTTCTTTGCCCTTCACGGCATTATCACAGAATCGTTGAATACTCCAGTCTTCCATAGTATTCACTAATTTACCGAATCTACCACCTGCGGTTATCTGAGCCTGCTGTGAAAACAAAGTCTTATTGTATGGGTCCTCTGGATGTGGTGTGTAATCTACCATTTCATATACTCGTAATAAATTCACATAATTTAAATTGCAACTACGTAGCTTTAAGGATTTCTCCTTTAAATTTACAGTGGATACTTCACGAACATAACTGATATTAGAACCACCAAGAATCATCATAATCCAACGCGGCACTTTCTGTTGTACGGTCAACAATCTCTCAGAGACCAAAACATTCCCATTATCCTTGAGTTCTCTTCTTAAAACATCCACACCGACGACATGGGTTGCTACTTCATTTGGGTACTTTTGCCAGTTGGCCGCCGTTACTTGTTCCCAAGGGTAATCGAAGTCATATGTATTCTCAAATAACTTCATTTCTCAATTAAAAAAATAAAAAATATGTATATACGAATGTATAATATGCAAAATATAATGTGGTTTCTATGTACCTGAGACATTAAAAAATATTTGGTTAGAATTTCTTTTCGATGTTATTTCACGGTCTTTCTTTATATATAAATTTGACATTACTAGACAATGCGAACCTCGACGCGGCCTGACCAATCAGAGAAAAGAAGGAACGGTTATAACGGTTAGTCACCTCTGCAATTTTGTTCAGCTCATGGTAGTTTGACGAACCGCCAATCTCCTGGCGGGTGTGACTCCCTGGGGTCCATCAACTTGGGACCTCGTACCTGCGCCATTAGTAAGAACATATTCTTGAAAAAGTCATGGGTATCATAAACATTTAGGGCGTTCAACCGAATTCGATGCATGACAGGGTTCTTAGATCCAATTTGTAACAGGTACTCTCTTGTAGTCTGTTGGGTTCCGGTCATCGCTATGTGATATGCTAGTAAGGTAGCAGGGTAGCATATAGAGAGACCTGCCCAGATGATTAGTAAAACAGATACAGGTGTTCCGTGAGATCCATTCCTAGTACGATGTAAATGGGTACCACAGTTAGCTATTAACATGATACATGTAATTACTGCGCTTACCAAAAATGTAACGAAGAAACGGTAATTACGTTGGCCGACACAGTTGTTAATCCAAACACAGTGGTGATCGTGTACCATCACACAGCAACCGCATGTCGAACAATGCGATGCCCTTGGAGGACGCCAGATCCTACAAGATCGGCAATACTTCATTTGTATCGGAAGACTTTGCTGGTTAGATGGTAAATTTACTATGTTGTAATATTCTTGAGGTATTTGGTAATTACGACTAACCTGAGGAACATGCAGGTTTCTTGGTAAACATCCGGGATCTGAAGTGGCTGCCATGAGAAACATAGTCAGCGTCAAGCACCAAAAATAGTAAAATAATACCACGAGACTCTTATAACCTTGTCCATGTGACCAGATGGAGTTTGTCTCGAATATCGAAAAGAGTACCACAGGAACCACAATGACAAACAGTACGGCCAGCGATAACTGTCTGCGGCCTCGCAACGTTCGTACTCTGCCACCAAAGAAGAATATATAGTTGGTCATGGAGGACATGGGAACATAGTTCTTATACTTGAGTAAAATATCCTCATCGCCATCGATAGCGACGAGCCACAAGAGTAATAGCTTCAGCCGCAGTCGGAGTGAACTAAGACGCCCCTGACTATGCAAGTCATTCTCGATATACATTTGTGTAATATCCCTTGACAGATAGTAATAATTCAGGAAAATTTCCCCTCGAACTTAGCTTTGGTTTCTTTTCTTAAATGTTTCCTTTTTCTTTTGTATTGAGATCAAATCTTCTATTGTTTACAAATCTTTATGGGACAGAAATAATTAATATAAAGGCGAAAAGGATATAATAGCCCTACTTCACTATGAGAACATGACATGTGAATCAAGAGCTAAAAGAGGTGAAAATAAATAGTCAAACATAGTCAGATATGAGATCACATGGACTTACACATATGGAGCTGGAAGAGATCGAGTGCCACCTTCGTACTGGTAGAGATATGGCGTACTGTCCTTACTCAAAGTTTGAAGTTGGATGTGTTATCTACATTAGAGGTTCAGAAGAAAAGATAGAGCTTGAAGGCTTCGATAACGAGGATTACGATAGTTACTATGAAGGTAGATTCTACGTGGGTGGAAATATCGAGAATGGAAGCTATGGTGCTACAATGTGTGCCGAGAGAGTGACTATCTTTAAGACTTTGGCAGCTGTCGAACGAGAATATGCCGACTCTGATAATTGGACAGCAATTGCTATTGTTGGCGATATAAACGGTCCCGACAAGATTATCACCCCTTGTGGGATGTGCAGACAAGTGTTGAATGAGTTTATTAGGGACAGAATAAAGTTTCCCATCCTCATGTATTCGCCAGATTTCAGTGAAATGAAAATTGCAAACATGAACGAGTTAATGCCAAGTCCCTTCGAGCTTTAAGGAATAAAAACAACAACACGCGAGCCTCAGAGGTACGATAATTGATCAGCATTGCTGCACTACCCCTCCTCCCATTCCTCAGTACATATGTACATAGACATATAATTAATTATAGATTATCTAAAATCGATGGCTGCATCGAAGAATTATCAAAATCTGAAAGAAAATAGTTTCAAGTATATAAGAAAGCGCAAAGTGAAAAATTTTCTAATCTGCAAAAATAAAGTATTTAATTACTTAAACTGTACTCATCTCCTAGAGATACAAGAGATATAACCATCAATAAAGAGATAATGAGTGCTACTGATATTGAAAAAGTGTACTGTGCTGGTCTTCAATGTGGTAAGGAGACCCAGTCACAACTAAAATGTCCTATCTGTTTGAAGAATGGAATTGTATCTGTATTTTGTGACGAAACCTGTTACAAGAACAACTACAAGGCTCACAAGGCTCTACATTTCAAAGAAGGTGATGAGACTGGTGAAGTAGCTTACAATCCATTTCCAAAGTTCAAGTTCAGTGGTGATTTGAGACCAAATTATCCTTTAACTCCAAAGAGATACGTCCCAGAAAGTATTGAAAAACCAGACTGGTCCCAAGACGGTCTTCCAGTTGATGAACAAAAGAATGACAGAACCAATGAAATCCCTGTCTACACCAAGGAAGAGATCAAGAAGATTAGAAAAGCATGTCTACTAGGTAGAGAGATTCTAGATATCGCTGCTGCTGCAGTCGCACCAGGTATCACCACCGATGAACTAGACAAGATAGTTCATGATGAAACTATCAAGCGTGATTGTTACCCATCCCCATTGAATTACTATAACTTTCCTAAATCTGTTTGTACTTCAGTCAATGAAGTAATTTGTCATGGTATCCCAGATAAGACTATACTAAAGGAAGGTGATATTGTAAATCTAGATGTATCTTTATATTATCAAGGTTTCCATGCCGATTTGAACGAGACTTACTACGTTGTTGGTGATGATGAGTCCAAATTGTCTAAAGAAGCAATCAACACCGTTGAGACAGCTAGAGAATGTCTGAAGATTGCCATCAAGCAATGCAAACCTGGTACAACATTCCAAGAACTAGGTGATTTCATCGAGAAACATGCAACTGAAAATAAATGTTCCGTGGTTAAGACTTATTGTGGTCATGGTGTTGGTAAGTACTTCCATTGTGCACCAAGCGTGCCCCATTACAAGGGTAACAGAGCTGCTGGTGTTATGAAACCAGGTATGGTCTTCACCATTGAACCTATGATTAACGAAGGTACCTGGAGAGATGTTACTTGGCCAGATGACTGGACTTCTACTACTCAAGATGGTAAGAGATCTGCCCAATTCGAACATACATTGATGGTCACGGAACATGGTGTTGAGATCCTATCTGCTAGAAACAAGAAGTCTCCAGGTGGTCCAAGACAAAGAATCAAATAATGCATTACATAAAATTATATAGATATACCCTTTTGGCATATTAATAATATCATTTTTCTGATTATGAACAATTCACAACAGAAGAAATTCTAATGTGGTAAAAGGACAATGGTAAACGATTCAATAAAAGGACAAAAGCCTGTAATTATATTAGAAAAATAAGGCATGTTACTCATTGTAAAGGCCTAATGCAAGAGTGACATATCATTGCATAATAAATATCTGGCTATGTAACATATATTTTGGGAATTAATTTCATAAAAAGAGAATTAATAGGTGTAAAATTTACTGTGTGTCAATATTATCCACGTTAAAGCGCCTCTGGTCATAATGCTACTTTAGCGTCATCGTATCGCCCTAAAACTAAACCTAGATCTGATCAGAAACAAAATATCTGTATTCTATTGAAGTAAAAAACAATCAATGGGAATATAGGAGTGGACCTGGTTGATACCTTTGTTATCGATGAGAGCTAAAGAATTGAGATTTATTGAATTTTATTGATCAAGTTGACAAGCCATTACCCGCACATCACTTGAAACGAACATCACGTCTTATGTCACCAAATTTTTTCCAATTCACGTTCTGCAAGATTGGTGGCGAAACCCATACTCATTTGATAGAATAGTGAGACGCCAACGATGAGGTTAAAAACATTAGTACCTACTCATTGATGCCTCAACTAGAAGAAAAGGGAAAAAGTTTACAGAGATATAAAGACACAAACCAATTTGGCTGTTACTACAATGTCATTGCAATTATTAAACCCGAATGCTGAATCTCTAAGAAGGGACGCCGCTTTGAAAGTGAACGTCACCTCTGCTGAAGGTTTACAATCTGTCTTGGAGACCAATCTAGGTCCTAAAGGTACTTTGAAGATGCTAGTGGACGGTGCAGGTAACATCAAGTTGACCAAAGATGGTAAAGTCTTGCTAACAGAGATGCAAATTCAGTCTCCTACCGCAGTTTTGATCGCTAGAGCTGCTGCCGCCCAAGATGAAATTACAGGTGATGGTACTACTACTGTCGTATGTTTGGTGGGTGAATTATTAAGACAAGCTTATAGATATATCCAAGAAGGTGTCCATCCAAGAATTATAACCGACGGGTTTGAAATTGCTAGAAAGGAAGCGCTAGAACATCTGAACAATTTCCAAATGAGAGATGTCAACCTAGACAGAGAATTTCTTTTACAAGTTGCAAGATCCTCTTTATCTACCAAAGTGAACCCTGAATTAACTGAAGTTCTAGCTCCTATTGTTACCGATGCAGTATTGAATGTTCAAAACACAGAATCTAACTCTTTGGATCTTCATATGGTGGAAATCATGCAAATGCAACATTTATCTCCAAAGGATACCACTTTTGTGAAAGGTTTAGTATTAGACCACGGTGGTAGACACCCAGATATGCCTACAAGAGTAAAAAATGCCCATGTTTTGATCTTAAATGTTTCCTTAGAATACGAAAAGACCGAGGTCAACTCAGGTTTCTTTTACAGTTCTGCTGACCAAAGAGATAAGTTAGCAGCAAGTGAACGTAAATTTGTGGATGAAAAATTGAAGAAAATCATTGATTTGAAGAATGAGGTCTGTGGGATGGACTCAGAGAAAGGATTCGTGATTGTCAATCAAAAGGGTATCGATCCAATGTCCCTAGACATACTTGCTAAACATAATATCCTTGCATTAAGAAGAGCTAAGAGACGTAATATGGAGAGATTACAACTGGTCACAGGCGGTGAAGCACAAAACTCTGTTGAAGATCTATCACCTCAAGTACTAGGTTTCTCAGGTTTAATCTACCAACAAACAATTGGAGAAGAAAAATTCACATATGTGACGGAAAATAAAGATCCAAAATCTTGTACAATTCTAATTAAGGGATCTACTCATTATGCATTAAACCAAACTAAGGACGCTGTCAGAGATGGTCTGAGAGCTGTGGCGAATGTCCTAAAGGACAAGGCAGTCATTCCAGGTGCTGGCTCCTTCTTCATCGATGTCTCCAACCATCTATCCAGAAGTAACATGAATAGACTTGGAGCCAAGGGTAAAACCAAAACTGGTGTTGAAGCTTTTGCCGAAGCTATGTTAGTTGTTCCAAAGACACTAGTGAAAAACTCCGGGTTTGATCCATTAGATGTGTTGGCGATGTGCCAGGATGAATTAGACGACATTGATCCAACGGAGGATGGTCCTCGTAGATATGTTGGTGTTGATCTAAACATTGGTGATTCCTGCGATCCAACCATTGAAGGTATTTGGGATTCATACCGTGTTGTTAGAAATGCCATCAACGGTGCCACTGGTATTGCTAGTAATTTGTTACTTTGTGATGAATTATTAAGAGCTGGTAGATCTACTCTAAAGGAAGGCCAATAGACGTGTTAATTTTACTAATTTTAAGGTCCTCTACATAAATTTATATAACTGTGTATATTCACAAAACATTTAACTCATTTTTGTCACGCTCGTTTGTAGAATGCAACTGAAATTTTTTATTTCTCTATAAGGGTTAACATTCTGCATGGAAATGCATGTCTTAATTGAATTGAGTGCATTAATGAAACAGCCCAAAGTGGCTAGCCAGATGTGATCCAAGTCTAACTTCAATGACTGTTCCTTCTTGGAAACTGACTCCTGGTTTTTAGACGATCTTAATCGAAACCATCGGCCAAATATTACACTATAAATATATGTATAACAAGAACAAGAAACTCTTAGCCTTGAAGAAAATCAATAGATACTCAATTACACATGTTTCACGAAGCAAAATATCAATGCAATGTTTGGCTTTAGGGTTTATATTTCGTTGATATCATTTCTAATGGTTTCCAGCCGTCACTTACCGCGCGATCACCTTCTTTTTTCGTTGTTAGTAAAACATCTACATATATTTCACACAATAAAATGACTTACATAATCCATCGAGATGATGACTTTGAAGTAGTATAGAACCAGTATATTGGGATTCTAATTTAGATAAGAAGTGGTTTACAGTATGTCAAAAGTTACTGAGTTATATGGAGGTGCAATCACTACGGTGATTCCTGGTGGGTTTCTTGATGCATCGTTGGTACGTGAAATACCTGATACTCAAGAAGTGTTTGTGAATAGTAGGAAACCAGGTGAAGATAAGGATTTTAATGATGGCTTAGCATTCAATGAAAGCATTATCGTGGATCTTTTACAAAGGGTAGATGCTGCTTCTGATAAGGATGCGCTAGATTTACATATCAAAGAAATTGCTTCGTTAAATCAATCCGATGAATTGCGTATTGCCAAGTACGAGTCTCTAACGGACACTATCCAAAGTTGTATATGTGTAGAAGATGCATACAAATGGGGGAAACTTACTGAGAAGGAAACTGTGGCTGTTTGTACTGCGTTGATTAGACTAGGCAATATCGAGACAGATGTCGTGCTCACAATAAACGTTCCTGTAACGAAAGACCAACCTGAAGAATTTGAAGTTTTAGAGAAAGGTGAATTACCTGACAGGGTTCTTGCTGCGTATAAATTAGTTAAAGAGATGGCCACACAGTTTAAGATTATCGATGATTCATTGTTTGTTTAGTGGACGAAGGATTCTTATATCAGCAGTAGCATATCTATATAAAACATTAAATAAAAATAACATACCAATAAACATATATTTGAAAAGGGTTACCGGTTACGATAATTTGAGATGGGACTGAAGTTGTTCTTAGTGGTAACAAGTTAGGCATCAACAGGATTACCCGGATTTACTTCCAGAATTTTTTTTTTTTTGAAAAATTTCAAATTTACATCGAAAACACCAACTGAAAAGAACCATCATGGACCATAAACCTTGAAAAATAGGTATACTTATATCTCTAACAAAGAGGTGAATCAACCAACCTTAACAGATTTCGACTTAATACATTACCTTTATAAACTATGGCGAAGTCGAGAAGTTTTTGGAAAGTAAAACGGTTAGTTTGGTTTATTGTTCCTACAATCGTATTAGTACTCCTAGTAGTACGATTTATTAATAATTCCAAAGCTACTGATCTACAAACAATATTACAGAATTTACCTACCGAAATATCCCAAAGTATCAATAATGCAAACAATAAGCAACAAAAGGATGCCGACATCATGTCAAGATTTGAAGAACTAACAGAACAACTGTTGGCCAAACAAGAAGAACAAAGTAAAGAGTTTGAAAGAGAACGTAAGGTTCTAGAAAAGAAGATCAATGACTTGAAACCTGTACCAGATGATCTTACTTTGCGTGAGAAACTCGCCTACAATTTCCCTTATGATCCCAAAGCTAGATTCCCAGCTTTCATATGGCAAATGTGGAACGGCAAAATGGATGACATCGAAGTTCTTCTAAGTAGACAACAATGGGGTGATAAGAACCCAGGTTTTGTACATGAAGTATTTAATGATGAACTCATGGATGCCATTGTACGCCACTTTTACCATAGAATCCCCGAAATAATGGACGCTTACACTACCATGCCTACAAGAATCCTTAAGATTGATTTTTTCAAATATTTGATCTTGTTGGCTAGAGGTGGTGTGTATGTTGACATGGATACATTCCCTGTCCAACCTATTCCAAACTGGATTCCGGAGGCCATAGAGCCAGGCGAGATTGGGATGATAGTAGGTATTGAACATGATGCTGCACCAAACACAGACTGGAAGAAAAATTTTGTTAGAAGGTTACAAATTGGTAATTGGGTCATTCAAGCCAAACCAGGTCATCCAATTCTTCGTGAAATTGTTGCACAGATAACGGAACTTACATTACACCGTAAAGAAGAGAATTCCTTACGTTTGAATTTCCGTAATGACTTAACTGTTATGGGATGGACAGGGTCTGGTGCTTGGACGGATGTTATCTTCACGTACTTCAACGACTACATTAAGAGTGGTCTAAGGTCAAAGATCACGTGGAGGGATTTCCATGACATCAGGAGGCCGAAATTACTGAGTGACATTCTAGTGTTGCCTCAATTTTCATTTGCATCGCCTCAAACAATCGAGAATGATGATCCTAGAAAGAAGTTTTATTTTGTAGTGCATTCCGCTACAAGGTTCTGGAAAGGCGCACCAAAAGTCGAACAATAAGTAAACGTAATAGTAAAAGACTTAAGTACATATATCAAATAAAATGTTATCATATAATAATTTGAAATTGTAATAAAAGAAGACATTTGTATTTTTTTAAGAATTATATGTGCGTTTGAGGGGGAATATATATTCTAGAAATAATTATTATTTATATGAAAGGAAACTAGGTGTTATTAAATATGAACCAGTTTAGTGACCACCACCACCAATTTCAATGGTAGGACCACAACCAAGGGACTTCTTCAAAGTACCGTAGATACCGAATTGTAATGAGGTCAAAGTACCGACCATTACTAAACGAGTTGGCAGACCAGCGAATGAACCGAAGAAACCTAATTGTTTGGCTAATTGACCCAATAGACCGATGGTTGATTGACCTGGCGCTTTCTTGACCTTATTAACCTTGGATAACAAAGTGTCAGCTGGTTGAGAAACAATAGCAGCGGCAAGACCGGCAGTTAAACCAGACAATAGTGTAATACCGGTGTTCATACTTGAGGATAAAGTTTCTTTGGCGCCGACAATACCGTAGTATAATTCAGAGGCACGTTCAAAGACCAAGAACTTAGCGATATTGTAAGGAATTTGTTTAAATAAGATCGGAGTGAAACCATTGTAGAAAGAACCAACACCTTCTTCCTTCAATATTCTAGAGAACCCACCGATCAACCCGTTAGCGAACGTTGGTTGAGAGACCAATCTAATTCTAGTGGCCTCCAGTGGACATAAGGCAATATCAGCGATAAATTCGGCGATTGCAGCAGAACCCATGTAAACAGAGTTCTTGTAGTTACAAGCAGTGTCATAACCCAGTAAATCGATGAATTGCTTCTTGAACACTTCGTAACCACCAAACTTGAAAGCACCTTGAATAGAGTAACCTAGTAAAGTTGGACCAAAACCAGTCAATAACGCACCGGCACCTTCCTCACCGATAATTTTCTTGAAGGATGAAATCATACCCTTGTTGTAAACGGTAGGCTCTAGTTGGATTCTAGTCTTGACGACATCGATTGGGACTAAAGAACTGTGGGTGGAACCACAGCCAATGGCACCGGCAAGGGCAAATTTGAAGTAATCAGATGGAGCGTAGTCAGGAATCTTGTCAGACATTTCGTTGGAATATAGATGGTATGGTTTATATGTGTATATATTCCGATATAAACTTGTCTCTTATATACATTCTGTTTAAATGATCAAAAATGTTTGTAACCATCCACGTTTCTTTGTATTTATATAAAAATGACGGCTTCGCTAACTTAAAAAAAAGAATTAGAGATGAGCCGAATACCCCCAGCTGATTGGTCAAACAGAGTCGATGGGCTGATACTATTAAGAACTACGTCGAATCTTTTAGAATTGCTTGGCACCACTAAAGTGGACCTGCCACCTTTGACTAAATGTTAATTACTGATTATTAAAAGGGGTATATATATTATATAAGTATATGGAAGGTGCTCAACTATTTAGAAGATGTCCTTAACGATGAGTCACTCAAAGAACTGAAAAAGAATAAAGACTGATGATGTCTAGATGTTAGATTATAACAATAAGGCAACAGCACCTAAAACAGCAGCAGATAGACCAGCAACCTTCTTGGCGGCATTGTTTTCGGTTTGGACGTTGACACCATGAGCAGTGGAAGCAGCAGAGATGGTAGATAGTTGAGTGACGGTGGTCTTACCGTTGGCAGCAGCAGAAGCAGCAGCGGTCTTGGAAGAGTGGCAGACTTCGTCACAGTGGGTAGAGGTGACAGTAGTCAAGGAAGAGATGGTAGTCATAGCAGCAGACTTGGAAGCGTGACAGACTTCATCACATTCGGTGACAGTGGTAGTAGTGTTTTGGAAAGCTGAGGCACCAGTAGAAGAGGTGATTGGACAGTTTTCGGTACAGATGGTACTGGTGTGCATTCTGGTAGAAGTAGCAGTGATAGTAGTGTTACCACCGACAACAGCAGAGCTGATGGCACTGGAGGTGGAATTGTTGGCAACAGCAGAGGAGACAACAGCTTCAGTGGTAGCGGCAGCGGAGGAAGAAGCAACGACGGCAGCAGAGGAAGCAGCAGAGGAAGCAGCAGAGGAAGCAGCTGGGGTGGTAGTAGTACCAGCAGCGGCGGAGGAAGTGGCAGCAGCGGCAGAAGAGGTGGCAGCGGCGGCAGAGGAGGCCTTGGAAGCAGCTGGGGTGGTAGTGGTACCAGCAGCAGTAGAGGAGGTGGTAGCAGCGGCAGAGGTGTGAGTGATGGTGTACAAAGCAGCGTCAATTTCAGAAGATAATCTGGAAGAGTACCATGGTAGAGCTGGTAACCAAGTTTCGACAGCAGCCATGTCGACACTATCGTATAGAGCACTGGTTTCTTTACCTTCAGCAATAGCCATACCTAGGTTTAGAACACCAGCTGGTAAGTCAGATAGAGAGATTTGACCAGAGGTAGCTAGACCCATGTAATCAGATAAATGGTTTTGGACATCTGAAAGAATGGCGTTTAATTCAGCGGTTTGAGCTTCAGATAAAGCGTTGGCCATAGAGGCGACAGCAAGTAAGGCAATAGCGGCTTGGAACTTCATAGCGAATGTAAATGGTTTTATGTGAAACGTTGATTGTTGTTGGATTATATTTAGAAACAAAAGAAAATAACAGATAATATATTTAGAAACAAAAAAAATAAGAGGGAAAAAAAGTCTTACAATTTACATTGGTTATCATACCTGGTGTCTATTTATACCTGTAAGAATTAACGACCACTGGAGGTTATTTTTGTTATTTTAAAGCAATCGGGTTTCCTAATCGGGGCAATTGTCCACATCATACTATAATTAAATTGGTTGCCTTCATCTCAGGAAACATGCACGGAATGGTGGGCGTCTTCTATTCAATCCATCCCCCAAATATATTAATAAAGAAAACTTTTTCACGATTTCTGCATCGTACAATCCTTCTATTGTTGATTTGGTAAGCAATGTTTTTTGTAAGATCTCGTCAGATCTCAGTTTCTCAGAAATTGAGATCTGAAGATAAAGCCGCACAAAATACAGAAAACAACGTAATACTTTTTTCTGAAACTTACAAAGCTTAAACGAAGAGGACCGTCCCGAAACAGAAAACGAGAAACAAAACGTGAACGAGTGACCTTCTCGTTCGCAGTGGGAAGGAGGAGGGGGCAGAAAAAGAAGTTATGAACAGTTCGTTTCAGTGCCGGGGAATGTAAGTTATTACGACAATAACAACTACTCGAAATTCGACGGGGTAGTGGCCTCTTCCAGGACACCCACACCCACATCCTCAGTGGAAACAAACAAAAAAAATGAAAATCCAGATATTAGGTTGTCTCTCTATGACGTAGCCTTGTAAACGAGTAGCTCGATCACCCACTGGATGCTGTCCCTCCCCCACTCCTTGCAATAACGATGGTGATACATGGACTTAGTCAATACCAGAAAATGGCCACCACTAACACAAAAATACTAATATATTAATATATATATTTATATATAGCCCCACACAGACATGTAGTAGTCTGTGAGGCCCTTGCCTCTTGTACATTTCTAACCTCGTTCTCTTGTTCAGGTCTTGCTCAACTGTACGGCGACCGCCTCTCAGCGACGAAAACGAAGAAATTTCAGCTTTTTTTTTTTGCTTATTTAAGAAAATTTTCAATGCGATGAGCTGCAATGAGGACTATGAGAGCTGTGAGATTAGGATAGAAGAAAGGTAATCGAGATCGTGAGAGATGGTTACATTCAACTGTGAAGTGTGTAACGCCACTGTCCCAAAGAAGAACACCGAAAAGCACTACTACCGTTGTCCTAACGCTTACTATACATGTATTGACTGTTCTAAGACGTTCGAGGATGGTGTAAGTTATAAACAACATACTTCTTGCATCTCCGAAGATGAGAAGTATCAGAAGGCACTATATAAAGGTGCAAATAAGAAAGGGAAACCCAAGGGAAAGGTAGAGAAACCTGCAGTTGTTGAGAAGCCTGTGATTGCTGAGAAACCGAAGGATGAAAAGAAAAGTAACAAAAAATCCAGTAACAACGTCTCTATGAAGAAAGGTGATAGCCTGTATGCGATTTTGAAGACCTTGAAGGATAAGGATGCTAAGAAGAAGTTTTTGAAGTCGCTTGTGGTAGATGATGACGGTCGTCTGGCCAGAAAATGAGCTTCTGCGGAACCTCATCGGTAAAGCAATATTTAGTTGTTTGCATATACATACATACATATATAAATTATCACTATTTACTTTTCTTATTGAGACATTTGGCAACTTTATTATAAAATTGATTCAAAGATTTAAGTGGGAAACTTAGTGTATCGAACAAATATGAAGGTAGCTGTTGCTGCAAAACTGTGAGCTCTTGCGCAGACCGCTGCTTCAACAACGGTACATACACCACTTCAGTTTCTTCTGCCTCACCTTTCACAAACCCCAGCTTGTAGTCCATGATTCCACTACGGGTACCTTGGGATGCATCAAACCACAGACCTGTGTCGTCCTCGTAAGATTTATGTACACGCACTCCACATAGGTGCTCGAAAAGGTCCCTGAGTACTTCTACTTCATCTTGGTGTGTATCCAGCTCCTTTTGCAAGGACACTCGTGTCTCCTTAAGTTTTTTCAACTCGTCTTGCAAAAGTTCTAATTGCTGAGTCTTGCCTTCTAATTGTTGTGTCAACAATGTATTCTCATGGACTAACTTCGCCACTAGTAACTCGTTACTTTCCAGTTGTTTCTGTACCGACTTCTTGTATTCAACTAATGTGTCCATTATGGTGAATTATTTATGTGTATATTGATCGATTGTCCTTCTTGTCGCCGTCCCTGGAACTTGTTAACAATATCTGAATAGTCTCAACTAATTAATAGTTCGTTATATTAGCGTTCTAAACACTTTCAGTACTTCACAGGAGAAGAAAGATATAGGAAGAATGGTTGAAAACCAAATGTTTACGTAAACCTTGAAAAAAGAACCTGGGAGTGACACTGCTGTGATGATCTGTTTCACTGTTTGCGATATGAACAGTTTGTTGATCAAAATCGATGAGGAAAGACTTGGTTGGGGACGAAGAGGGTCGCCTCGCTACGCGATTTTCTCACTATAAAAATAGGAACTGCCAATCTGGAACACCCCATCTGATCGAACTACAAGAAACTATTCAATTCTAAGGGGTGGAAAGAGCAGTTATACCTTAATCAAGTGATTAATTAAAATATACGGATAAAGAGGGGGCGATGAGCAATTTACAACATGGTAAGATTGACGAACTGTTAGATGCAATTAGACATGAGTTTGTGCAAGTAACGCAAGAGGTTGCCACGCATCGTTTGCAAAATCAAAAGAGTCATGATCTTGAGATCAATCAACAATTGGTGGAACTGCAGCAAATTAGGGGCACAGTTTATGACCTGGAGGTAGCACATAGAAGGCTGCACGACACGTATAAAGAAGAAGTCGAGCAGCTGAGAGTGGTTGCCGAACAGAAGGATCGCAAGATATATGATTTGACAATGGAATTACAAATGAAGGAGAAAGAAGCTTTACTAATACCGCCTGTAATTCCTAAACCAAGCGTTTCTACTGTTAGTAGAGTATCCCCACCCACAATTGTAGTGGCTTCTGGTCAAAATTCGATTGCTAATGGTACATTGCCAGAACCTGTCTCAGAAAAACAACAACATTTAAATTCAAATAAAGATGATGATGACTTTAAAGACACTCCAAAAAAGGTTATTCCCTTGATGGAACGAGCTAGCAACTCTAAACCCTTTCCTCCATTTTTAATGGACTTGGACCCGACAAAGGTATCTCCAGAATTTAAGAAACAGGCTGATGATTACTATGTGCTATACAATCCAGCATTCCCAAAAAATCTCGATATAGAATTGCATAAATCTCTCGATCACTCCTCAGTGGTATGTTGTGTAAGGTTTAGCAACGACGGCAAATATCTTGCGACAGGTTGTAACCGGACCACACAAGTATATGAGGTAGCTACTGGGATCTTAACGGCGAGGTTGACAGATGACTCTACTACTAAGACATATGATCAAAATGAGGGAAGTCATGAAACAGATGGCGGTACAACAGATTTGTACATTCGTTCAGTATGCTTCTCGCCAGACGGGAAATTCTTGGCCACAGGTGCTGAAGATAAATTAATAAGAATATGGGATATTGAGCGCCAGGAAATCGTTACTGTGCTGCGAGGCCATGAACAGGATATTTACTCGCTTGACTATTTTCCCCAAGGTGACAAGCTATTATCAGGATCTGGGGATCGTACAGTCCGTATTTGGGATTTGACCACAGGAAAATGTTCACTAACTTTAGCCATTGAGGATGGTATTACGACTGTAGCTGTCTCACCAGACAACGGTAAGTATATTGCTGCAGGATCTCTAGATCATTCTGTAAGGCTATGGGACTCTCAGACTGGGTTTTTACTGGAGAGACTCGACTCTGAAAATGAGCATGGGAATGGTCATAAGGACTCTGTATACAGCATTATGTTTAGTAAAGATGGTAATAGTATCGTCTCCGGATCACTTGACAAGACAGTGAAATTATGGGACTTAAATACTTCCAATCAGTCGGGAGCGAAGAGAAATGGTACATGTATGGCCACATATGTTGGTCATAAAGATTTTGTGCTGTCCGTAGGAACAATGGATAACGACAAGTATATATTGTCTGGTTCGAAGGACCGTGGGGTTATATTTTGGGACACACAAACGACAGATCCTTTACTAATGTTACAAGGTCACAACAACTCTGTGATATCGGTTTCTGTTGCCACAGAATCCGTATTCCCAGATAAATGTAAGATCTTTGCCACTGCATCAGGTGATTGTAAGGCTAGAATATGGAAGCTTATGGAAAATAACAGCTAGAATTCTCTGGCTTTATTTGCTTATGCGTTATATATATAAGAAAAATTTTTAGTGCATTGTGTTTAATCTTTTGTTGCATGTAAACGAATATAGACATATATAGATATATAAAGAAATAGGGAAAGGCAAGACGGTAATCATTGAGTATCTTTGATCCCGTTCTCCAAGGCTGCTGGATTAGCACCGACAACTTTTGATGCGATCCTACCATCCTTAACCAGCATAAAAGTCGGCATGGCGCTAATATCACAGCTCCGGGCGACATCCATGGCCTGATCGACATCCACTTTGTAGAAATCTACATTAGGATATTCCTGCATCAACTTCGAGATATGTGGGATCATCGCCTTGCAAGGTCCACACCAAGTGGCATAAAAGTCGATCACTTTAACACCTTTTTTGGAGTCCAAGATTTGCTCTTGAAACTCTTGCATCGTACTCAGTTTAGGGATTTGGGAGTAACTTGATCCGAATCTACGTCCAGCAATCAGAGATAAACGATATGTAGCAATACTAGTTCTGGTAAACATGTTTGTTTCTCCTTTGTTCTGTTCTTCTTTTGGTTCTTATTACTTGATTAGTAATGAATTGTTGTGTTAAATATATCTTTTTTTTTTTCAAAATGTTGATATATTTAGTTTTATATAGTTATTATGAAGAATGCTGAATATATAAGAAAATGCAGGAAACTAAAAAAGAGGTATTGTTCGGTCAATCAAGCATACCTTGTTCATAAGACTTTAGTAATTGTTCATGTTCTGCCACGTATGCTGCGAGGTCAAGTCCATATTTCGACCAATCCAGTTCTATTTGGCCAGCTTGCAATGGATTTCTCTTCGCCTGCCCCTCTCTAGTGAAAATCTCAGAAAGTAACGCTCTGCAGTTTGTAAGACCATCAACAAGTTCTTGGTAATTCTTTGTTCTATCTATTTGGTCATAAAGTTGCTGCAATTTCGTCTCAAATTCCTGTTTCTCTACCAACTTGCGCTCCAGGTACTTCTTCTGCTGTAATAACGCCCGAAGATCTTCGTTTTCCTCTAAGTCTTTCCCTTGGAACTCTTGTACATAATCATGCTCCTTGCTCATCTTTTCTTGGACACTTTAGAACTGGTTCTTATGATAAATGTTTCTTGTTCTTTAGTAGTTGGGTATCATTGTTGTTATTGTTCTTGTTTTTAAGTGCGGCGTTGTCAGAGGGCCAGTTATATAGTTTGATTGTCATCGTACACAGTGATTATAATAAACTTCAAATCTATATATGTATATATCTTTAAGACGATATAGCTGTAACTTATGCTGGATTCTTATTTTCGAAGCTTGCATCAAATAAAGAGAGGTTATAGCACGCATTGTTGATTGATTTAATAGGGTCCTGGTCTGTTTGATAACTGTTAATATTGTAGTAAGCCTGCGTCTTAAGCTTGGAAATATATGTGCGAGTTTTCTTGTCATAAATGAACCATCGTTCTTTCTCTTGTTCATTGAATATGTCACCTTTACTGGATTCACGTTCTGCATTCATTGGGGTTATTCCTATTGGAGTGGTTACGTTTGTTTTAGATTCAGTTGGTTTAGTGGTAAATGATGAGACTTGCAATGGAGGTAGTTTCAATAGTTCTTTCGGAACATCGAAAGTGTGCGATTTGCAAGAAGAATAGAGATTTCCACTGCTATTACCCGAGGATAGCGGAGTTATAGAATCGAAGTTCTCCACTGCGTCATGTTCTCCATCCGAAGTAGCTATGTATATGCTGTAAGATTTTAATGACGACAAAATCTCGTAGAGGATAAGTTTTAACCGGAGACTGAAGGATAGTTTTTGAAATAGACACAACATGTTACTGATAAGAGTTTTCATTTCACCGGCAGTCGATTTGTCCTGTAGGTGTTCCACAATATATTTTAAGATATATGCTTGGTGAATTGTGAAAATTTTCATAACTACATCCATAACAGATTCCCTCTCACCTAGTGCAAATTCATCCATATTATTGAAAAAAGAGATGATGGACACAAGAAGTTTTATCGAGTCGTCAGACATTTCCAATGTGGTGGAAGTGACCTCTGTATTCTTCTTCGATAGTGCAATGATAGACTCTATGACTATTACTAGATAATTCCGAGGAATTTCGACGTTCATCAGTATTTGATCGAACAGACTCTTTTCGAATATTTCGATGATTTCTGCGGTGACTTTAATATCACTAACTCTATCGAATATTTTCGAGCATATAGTATCATTCTGGGTAAACTCAATAATATCAAATATAAATTTTGCTAATTTATCACCGTAGTTATCTTGGACCTTAATTTGGTCGATATTATAAAGCGTATATGCTTGAAATATCCATAAATTGGTGAAATCTAAAAGACCAAAAAGTTCATAGTCAGTTTCTGTACTCATTGATGTGTCATCTTCACTTTCTGTTTCATTCAATTCATTATCACCATTAACAGGGGTATTTTCCTTTATCGCCCCTTTATATTGAAGTAAATCTCCCAAAATGTGATTAGTCTCTTCTGAGTGGTCATTTAGTAAGCGAATGATTACATCTGCAGAAATTTCTGCAAATTTGGTTGAAGGACCATACTTTGTGAGCATTCTGGTAAACAATTTGTACTGACCATTATCTTTCAAGTCACACAGTGTTAAGACGGTTTTAAAATTGGCCCTCACGTAGTCAATCATACAGTGTTCATAGTAAATAGTGTTTATAAAATGAGTATGTTCCTCAGTGAATAACTCTTCAGCTTTTTCTTCTAAGTATACTAAAAGTTTCATTATCCATGTGCCTCCAAGTGTTGTCTTTATTTGTTCAAGTGATAATAGTTTATTCGATATTAAGCATATCAAATCTGTATCACTATAATTTTTTCTCTTTAAAAAAATGGACATAAATTTATTGTAATCATGCAAGGAAGATGATTTTAATAATGTTAAAACAGATTTGGCTCTCTTAAAATCTTCTAATGACCGCTGGACTTTGTAAGAAAGTAAACTTTTCGTATTATTTTGAAACAATTCGGCAAAATTCAAATTCGTAATGGACGATTTGTTCTGGGAAAGTGCATCAAACAACTGTTGTACCAGGTCTTTACTTTGTTCTAGCGCTAAACGTTTTGTTTTGTCTTCTTCGTAAATGGCAGATAAGTCGTTCCTTAGATCAGTGTCAATTGTAAGAGCCATTGGGAAAGTTTTCATGAAGAATTTCCAAAATGACATAAATGAAACAATTTGGAAATTGACGCTATCCGTTTCCCTTAGAATTTTTGTATATATAAATAAAAATGTTTTCATAAAGAGGACATGGTCATTAATATATTGTGAAAACAATTTCTGGAAACTGACCAAAATATCAATTAATAAAGCCATAGTTTCGATATCGTTTAATAATTGGTGATATACAATAAACTCACACCATTTATAGAAATGATGCGAAACCTTGAGATTCAAGCAAAAAAACTTGAAATTATTGAATAGTGTTTCCCGATTAATAGGTTGTAATGATGTATTTGAACAAATATGGTTTAAATACCATTCAGCTAACATAATTTTACCTCCCAATGGTAAATTAATTTCGTCAAAATTGACTGTATTGATAGACTGGCCATCATCAAATAAATTCCCTGATATACTTTCCTTTATATTGTCAATTTTAATCGCTAATTGATCAAAACTATAGTTCTCAAAATAATAGGGGTCAAATTCCATAACGTTTCTTAAAACCATATTATACTGAGTTTTCATTAAGGGAGATATCTTCAGATTTATCAACAAGACAACATGGAAGAATTTATCGTTGGAATCCTGTAAGTACATAATACCAGAACTAATTAATTTTCTGACATATGTTGAAACTTTGATAATTCCATAAGTGATTAAAATATTCAGAAGTAGGTATAATGACTCCAAATGGATCATATTTCCGAGATTTTGTGAATCTAATTTTGCAATTTGGAAAATTAATGACCATAGAGTATCCTCGATTTCATATTCTGGGAACCCATCAAATGAGTTAATTTGAAGTAAAAGTAATTTGGCAACTAATTGGTTGGACTCATAATGAGATAGACGAGATGGATGGATAGACCATAGTACTAATTGTATGATCTGTGATTTATTCAGTGGATCACGTTCAATGTATTGCGTCCAGTCAAATTCAGTGGTGTTATCATCTAATAAGGTAGTGAATTTGGTATCTATATGTGAAATTCTGATTACTTTTATATCATGTTGGATTTGGGACCATTGAAAATAATGGTCATGATGGTTGGAAAAATTTTCATCATTTGAACTTACTTTTTCCTCCGTTATTAGAGTAGTATTCTTTAGAGTTTCATTTCTATAACTAATCAACTCAAGAATTTTCCGAATTTCATCAGCATTCTCAATAAATTGGCTCTTGTTGACAATTTCATAAAGACATGGCTTGTATAGTTCCCAACTAGATGGTGGAAACAAAAATACTTCGAGGGATTGTTCTCTGAACAGTTTGATAATCATGGTAGTTAAAATAGCTAAAATCGAGTCCTTCAATTTGTTATTTTTTTTAATATCATTTATTATGTATCTTTCATCATTAATCATAGATTTTGCATTAGAAACAACGTAATATTTGTGCAATAACATATCGGTGATCTTCGACAGTAAAAAATTTGAAGAGTTCCTACATTTTAGTTGATTGGCGTTTTGATTGATATTAGTTATATTATCCCAGAATGTCATCAATATATGTAGCGTTATTGGTAAAAATTCAAAATTTTCCACCTTTGAGACGAATTCAACAAGCCAACGGTGAAATATGTTCTTATCCAATAAACTAACTGAGTAACAATTTCCTAATAATTTCAAGAAATATGATATTTCAACTTTCCATATTTTTAATTTATCAGCATCATTATAGTATTGGTTCATCTCAAAGATCAATTTTTCTAATATATTAATGAAGCTTTCTGTCCATTCTTTCAAAATGTGTATTTTAGTAGATTCAATATTGTTATTAGCATTAGTTGGTGATCGTACTGTGGGAGATGTATGTGATTTTATGAAATTACCAGAATGTTTGGACTTTGATTGTTGTATTTCAATTAGAAAACAACATTTTATCAACCACATGGCTCTCTTTAAAGGGATTTGTTTTTTGTAACATTGTTCAATGACTCTTTTCCTTTTCAAACCATGAGGAATGTATTTGGACACATTATGTAACGAAACGTAAGGTTTGCTCAAATCATGTAACCAGGCCTCTTTCCTATTATCAGTTAGTGTGACCCTAGTTGGAAGCGCAAAACCTGGACCGGCCAGGTCATATATTTTATTTGTTGTGAAAAGTTGTTCATTTGATGAACCATTTGGTGCAGGTACTGTGGCAGGGATCTTATTAATCTCACCCTCTCTGATTTGTAATATTTTAGAAAATTGGACTCCAAGTTGCTCTGAAATCTTTGGTAGTGATTCGTGTAAGGAGGATCTGGCAGATATACTCTCGAAGTTAACTTTTGATGTTGTATAGTAACCCTTCGAAACAAAATTCATGAATATCTGATCCTCCTCGGGTCTATGTTTCCATCTATCAAAATCTGGGTATACAGGGTCAAATTGTTCTGATTCACTTGTCTCAGGTGTAAAATATCGTCTTTCATTTCTGAAATGGACTTCATCTTCATTGCGGTCAGAATGTCTTGCGATATACGGATGAAGATCTTCTGGAGGTGACAAGATATACTTGCTGGGTGACATAATGAAGGGGGGGCTTTAATAACTAATGGTAAGTTTAGGGTAATATGAAATGGTTTAGTGCTATTGATATGTGTATGAATAATATAGTTTTGTACTGTAGTACATTCACTTTACAAGCTATTGTTTTTTGTCTTATTGTACATAGATATATGTGTGTCCCTTCCATACTAAAAGTTTTTCAATTGATCCATACTGAAGGCAAAAAAAATTATTATAGAGTTACCTAGCGAACTATACAATTTTTTAGCAATGAAATCAAAAAGTGAAAGTTGTTTCAGTAGTGATATTTATAATGATACAAATAAAAGAATATAGATATTGTATGTAGCTATATTGCGTTAAGCAATTTTTGTTCTCTTGAGGCCCCCGTTCTATCGTAAGTAGGCCAATTACCCCAGTTAGATAGTCTTAGTACTAAACAAGTGGCGTTATCGGCATGTCTATCTGCCATACTAATAATAAATTTGATGACTTCATCTGCTACAAATTGAGGTGTTGCATGTTTGAGACCTCTAAGATTGACTGTGGAGGTAATTAAATCTACTATTTCTTGATCAGCAAGCCAACCAGATACACCATCTGTGACCATGACTATGAAACATTCATCACCCCCAAATTGCAATTTTGCCTTTTCACTATGTGGTAATTGTGAAGTATTCCCAATTAAATATGAATATATATCAGGTTCTGCAGAGATCCCGTCTCTTTTACCAATGACATCTCCAAATGATCTTGTATTTGCGAAATTATTTAAGAACCTTTCTTCTCCAAACGAATCTGTTGAAATCAATTGAGAATCCCGAGTCTGTTGTAATCTTTGATGTTCTCTATTTTGATCTGGATGATGAGGTCTGGACAAACTATGTGCCACCCCATTGGAGTCGCATATTAATATTTTTGAATCACCCACTTGAGTGACAATTAATTTCAATAACCCTGTCGGGTAAACAAAATAAGTTTGATCATTTGGCAAAGGAGTATTACTACCTTGAGAATCGAATCTTGATAGTAGTATTGAAGAAGCTGTTGAACCACCTGGGAATTTCTCACTCCATGAATTTAGATCTAAAGAGTTCTGCTGAGGATTTATTATACCACAACATTGTTCCAGATCAAATTGTAAAAAAGTATTGATAATCTTAAGTCGCTGTTGTTCATTCAATAACGAATTCTTATCGATCAAATTCCCTGAATGGTCGAATAACATCCTTGTTCCTTGATTACTTTGATCAAACAACACTTGTTCTTGTTTTGTATTACAATGACGTATAAATCGATCATAATATTTTTCACGATCTAAATATAATGATTCCCAATACGATCCAGCAAATAAATTTTTGTACCTTTCTAGTAGTTGAAATAAAGTTTCCGAAGTTAAAGAGCCCTTTGGTTCTTCTTGACCTAACCAATTATGTAGATTATGAGCTAATTTGGAAGAAACATTACTTGAAGCAATCCCATGACCATCAAATACAGACATGTTCAACAAGGGTTCCTTTGAAAACACAGAATTTCTCAAAAGGGACATCGAGTAGGTATCCTGGTTAATCCTTCTAGAGACACGACTTGAACTATGGCCAATAAGGCCCGCAAACTTCGATAATGAAACCTTAAGTAATGATTTACCGAGACCACCACCGACACCGCCAACACCGGCGGGTCTCACGTGTATAAACGCTTGAGCATTGTTCATTCCTTCTTGCCAAACACACTATCCACTTGTATCCATACCATTGATCTCAAATGACCAAAACCTCTCTCCGACAGAAGATAAATATATATATATATGCGTGTGTGTGTGTGTGAGCGTGTTTGGTTGCTTATGTAAAGTGTATCAATTCCTTTTATTTCAACAAATCTCATCGGGAGGGGGGATGAGAAACAAAAGTTGGTTGCACACTGTGAAAGAGATGCGAATACGTAAAGCCACGCCGGAGACCACGCACACTCACACTCACACGCACACGCACCCGCGCAATACGGCCTGTTTGTCGGACAATGAAATCCGACAAACAGGCCACGTTAGGGCTTGCCGTTAGGGCTTTGAGTGCAGCCCTAATTTTAGGGTTTGTGAATTAGGGTTCGCGAGTTAGGGTTTGCGGTTGTTTGTGTTACCCTCCCTTCCGCGTCCACATCACTTCCCACGAATCCGGTTAGTGGTGTCTTCTTTTTCAATTTTCTTTTTTTTTTCTGCTTCAACTGGAACTTTCAGCACAGAGACGAACGACTGGAAGGAACAATTTCAATTTTGGGTTTGGCTAACCCCTCTACCAAAACAATTCATAAGAAAACATACACACACAGTGATATATACTATTAAGCTTTGTATTTGCTGATTGTTTATAAGGGAAGTTTCTGAATACTGAAAGGAAACCAATATCTGTTGAACGTATATTTTTAGGGATGTCGTTTTTTGGGTTTGATCCTACTGCGCAACAGCATGCACGTCCGCAACAACAACAACAACAACAACGTCAGCAGCAGCAACAACAACAGCAACCATTGGATTTCGAAGAGACTTACAAAGGTTATGGTGATTATGAACCTGAGGAGGAAGATTTCTTAAATGATGAAACATTTGGGAATAATGTCGAATTAGGTAATAATTTTGATTTCGGTCATTCACAACAACAGCAACAACAGCAACAACCTGCTGCTGCTGTAGCTGCTGCTCATGTGACTCACAGATCCTATGTTGCCGCTGCCGCATCGGGAACTTCACAACAAGCTCACATGGACGCGGCTGTCGACTTGAGACCAATGGAGTCTCTGTGGAACCCAAATGCTGCTCCTGCTCATGCAGGTCAAGCTGCCGCTGGTGAACAGGTCGAACAACAGCCTCGAGTCTTATCAATGGAAGAAATCGAAAGAAATCAACGTCAAATGCAAATGCATCCTCCTCCTTTGCCACCTCAAGGTTATCCTGCTGTTCAGGGTTATCCAATGCCTCCAGGTAATTTCATGCCTCCACCAGGTCAAAATTATCCAATGATGGCGCCTCCTCAACAACAGCAGCAATTTCAACAACAGATGCGTCCAGTGTTTAATCAACCTAATTACATGGGTTATCCTGGTAATGCTCCACCTCCTCATCAACAACAACCTCAGCAACAACAGCAACAGCCTCAGCAACAAATGGTGCCTCCTCAAATGCAAATGCCTCCTCAACAACAAATGCAACAAGCACCACCACATGAGCAGAAGATTGCTCCTCAAGTTGCTGTACCTCAGATGGCTCGTTCTTCTTCCAGTTTATCCCAATCCTCAAATGAAAGAGAAAACTTCAAGAGTCACCAAAGACAGTCTCATCAAAGACAGCCTCGTAACAGAGAACCTTTAACCCCAGAGGAACAAAAGAGACTAGAAGTTCGTCACGCCAAAGTTGAAAAGATCTTGAAGCATTCAGGTCTAATGACTCCTCGTGACAAAGATTTCATCACTCGTTACCAATTATCTCAAATTGTTACTGAAGACCCTTACAATGAGGATTTCTATTTTCAAGTTTATAAGATTATTCAACGTGGTGGTGTCGTCGGCGAATCCAATAAAGGTCTGATTGCAAGAGCCTACTTGGAACATTCAGGTCATAGACTAGGTGGCCGTTACAAACGTGCTGATATCGCTTTACAAAGAATGCAAAGTCAAGTTGAAAAAGCTGTCACTGTTGCTAAGGAAAGACCACTTCGTAAACAAGAAAAAGAGCAAAGTAGAGAAAATAGTAACAATGAGGGTTCTAACTCTGCAGGCTCTTCAACTACTGGACAATCTAATGATAACCGTGATGGTGTCCTTGGTAAAATCTCTTCTTCACTGAATAGTAAAGCTCCACGTAGACAACTACAAATTCCAACTTCGAATAAGACACTACTAAACTCATTGTTAGTCAATGATGAACATGCCACCGCAACAAAGCCAACAAACCCAGATGCACTAATGGAGGTCACTGAATCTTTGGGTAACGTTGAATTGAGTCAAAAGGCAAGAGTTAGAAGAAGATCATCCTACGCTTTCACCTCTGTTGATCAAAGCTCAGTACTATCTCGTTCAGGTGGTAGAAAGTTCGTCTTGTCTCTTATTGAAACTGTATATGAAGAAGTTTTGGAACTAGAGGCAAATTTGAGAAGTGGTAAACCAATAGATAACAAGAATTTGTGGGATGCTCTACATATTAACGATGAATTATATGAGGTTTGTCCATTTATTTCCATGTTATCCTTTGATAAAGGTGTTAAGATTATGCCAAGAATCTTTAATTTCTTGGAAAAAGACCAAAAATTAAAATTGTTACAAACATTCTTCTCCGAATTATCTCATTTGAACATAATTATTATCAGTTCTTACAAGACAAATCCGGAACCAACAGAGTTCCAATTAAAGCAAATCGATGTATTCCAAACTGTGTTCCTAAAGATTATCGTTTCATTCTTATCTAGTAGTTCCAATTTCATTGAAATAATGGGTCTATTGTTGCATCTAATCAAGAACAACAACGTATCCTTCATCTCCACTTCAAAGATTGGTCTAAACTTGATCACTGTTTTAATTTCCAGAGCTGCTTTAATTAGACAAGACACCAATAGAAACAACATGCTTTCTTCCCCAGAGATCTCCACCTGGAACGAAATTTACGACAAGCTATTCACTGCCCTTGAAAGTAAACTGGCTGCAGTGTTCCCTCCAAAGGAATATATACAGAAGGTAAACAGTGTTCATCTGAAGGGTCATGCAACTCCAAGTGCTAGTCCTCAACATTACGATCAAGCTTATATATGGCAGTTCCTTGCCTCCTTGGCGCTAAGTGGTAAGTTGAACCATCAACGTATCATCATTGATGAAGTCAGAGATCAAATCTTCGGAACTATTACTGAGGCTGAACAATTAAAGGAAAATGCCAAGACACCTAACGAATCTGATGACGATCTGGTGTACAGACGTGAGAAGCTATACCAGGATCTAAACTTATTCTTAAATGTCATGGGTTTAGTCTCCAGAGATGGTGAAATCAGTGAACTCAAGTGAACCTTACTGTGTATATTATAGATTTTAATTCTTACATAGGATGTAATATTATGTCATGTATAGTTTAAATATAAAACCAAAAAATTATGAAAAGTTTCGTTTGACGTTATGAAAGAATATCGCTTATTAGAAAGATATATAATATATTAATATTTAAAGGGTGGCAACAAAAAAGATGATGAAAGAACGTTAAAAGAGGAATAACAACAAACTAAATAGAAATGAAGGACGTTAAAAATAAAGTAGAATTAGTGCTGTGTTATATTTTAAAGACGTTGGTTGTGGATGATGCTTCAGTTTTTGTTGCGGAAGAGAACAGACTGCCAAATATGGTAACAGCCACCATAACAAAAGAAGGAGAGAAATATAAGATTATTGTAACTGAGATTGCACCCAGTCATGGATATATGATGAACATATTCCATGATGGAGAAAGTCAAGGAATAGAATCCTTCATTGTCGATTATGGTTCTGATTTGCAGATAAAAGAAAATGATCTAAAGTTTCCTCTCGATTTTCAAGAATATTGTAAAAAGAATGATACTTCTAAAGCATGTGGTATGATATACCAAAAGTTCAGCAACAAGAAACTCGTCATGAAAGCTCCTAAGGAAGTAAGATCCACAGAGATATCTGAGATACGGAGTAGTATGGGAATGTCACCTCCAGTGGTAAATCCCTCTCATGTTAAAAGCAATCCAAACGATATGCCCAAGTTTGATGATGAGTATGAAGTTGGAACTGATGGCAGATTGGGACCTATAGATAGATATCCAGGCTTAAACTTACCAGAGAAACACCCAAGTAACTATGGAAACCCAGATTTATATCCAATGGGACAAAGGGATCCTTTCAACTTCAATGATATTAATACCCGTGGTGGAATGACATTTGATCCATTTGGAACAAATAATCAGAGTAATATGCAAGGTGACAAAAACGAACAAGCTAGAAGAGGACCTGGCTGGATTCCTGGATCAAGGTACGACGACCCATTTGGTAAGAGAAACGATGATATGAATCCCGGATCCGGTGCGGGATTCGGATCTGGTTTGGGACCTGGGTCTGGTTCTGGGTCAGGATTGGGATTTGGTGGAGGTATGTTCATGTAGTTGTTTTCTTTAGTTAATAAAATCATTCCTATTATTTTTATGTACGTATCTTATCTTATATAGTAATTTATATTTGTCATGGTTGGGTTCTTATTTTGTATTAGGTCTTTGTATACACAACTGTAGTCATATCCTCGTCTCTGAAGAGTGATACTGTGAGCCCAGCCTGTTTATCTTCCACCATTGCGAATCCTTCATCATCCACATGTAAAGTTGCCAGTTGGATAATATCCTGTTTTCTGGACTTCCCTATCCCACTGCAAAGGAGAATGTTATTGTTCTCGTCAAATATCAATGTTCCAAGAGGCTTATTGCCCTTATCTGTAGCACTTTCACTCATATCCAGAAAGTAATATGTATGCCAATTCTTCCTGTCGTTCCTCCCTTCAATTGTTATGTTGTCGGTCAGATGTTTACTGTGCAACTTATTCCCTTTTATTACAGAAGGCGTGATCATTTCTTATTATATTTATCAATAATTATTAAGGCTACATATATAAATTGGCAGAAAATTATTATTCACGAAGACAGACAAGCACATCGTCAATCGCTCCAAATGGTGACATTAGATGAACTGCTGGGTCTTGTGTACGTATCAGTATGGTCAGTATCCATGTATCCACCATTGTTAGTTAATTACCGACAACGGTCAACAAAGGCTATATCTGTGGACTTCGCCATTCTGAATACGGCAGGGTACACGTACCTCATGATATCTATGGCTTTACAACTATATTTCTGGATTGAGGTTGCAAAGGATGTTGACAGACCCAAAGTTACGCAGTTTGATATGTGGTATTGCGCTCATGGATTTCTGTTGAACCTCGTGCTACTATCCCAAATCGTGTTTGGACGTAAGTTATGGAATTTCTATAGGGACAACAAGCTAAGAAGGATGAAACAAGGCTACTACAGAATCCTGTGGGTATCAATCGTGATATTTTTGCTATTGACAGGCCAATTCGTACTTAACAATATGCAACAAAATTGGGATAACTCTAGGACATTGAATTATTGTAACAATTTATTTTTGTTGAAGATCAGCATGTCCTTAATTAAATACATCCCTCAGGTAAAGCATAACTATGACAGAAGATCTGTTAAAGGATTTGCTATTCAGGGTGTTATTTTAGATGTTACTGGTGGAGTGGCTTCATTATTGCAATTACTGGTACAACTGTCCCGAGATCAAGGGTTTTCACTAGCTACTTTTTTGACTAATTTTGGAAAGATAGGTATTGCATTGGTCACACTTATCTTCAACTTTATATTCATTTCCCAATGGTTACTTTACAAATAATTAATTGACCATACGTTTTCTTCAACTTTGTAGAGCAACAGTCTGTTATACTTTATAAACCGTTTCACTTTTGTTACTTTGAATTGCTATCTATCTGGACTAAATTAGCTGTCACTTTAATTCATTTAAAGCCTTTACCAGCTTATTTTAAAATACTCATAACCGGAAACCCAGTCACAGAGCCAAGTGATATAATTTAACGGTCTCTGATATCGGGAGCCAATTCCAACCAAGTTGCATTAGGTGAACAGACCAACAAAGGATTTCGAATGTTAGTTGCCCTAGCACTAATTATAAAAGTGCAAACCTTACTTTTAGTGGTATAACTTTTTAACAACAAATTTTAGTTGGGTATAAAAATTAGGTTTTCTAATTCTGTAACATCTTTAAAATATCTATTATGCTGACTGCCATGGTATTGAGTTGCCAGTAGCAGGCGACAAAATTGCAAGCACTAGGTGACACGCCAGGCACACCAACTCCAGATGAGTATCTGTTTTCAATAAAGTATATTTGAATCGAGACACCTGTATAATAGCAATGTAGGGTCTCCAGGAGAATGGTTTACATAATAGTTAGTTCTAATAACACCTATAAATGTAAACTTTTGCTGTCAACTCTTTTCTTTCTACTTTTTATGCGGTTAATAGGTACTGTTCGCATGAGTATTGATGAAGCATTGAGTTCGATAGTCACTCTTCGCATAGTTCTTCCCCTAAATAATCAGAAATATTACCATGCAGATATATAAGTATACATACAAAACACAATTTATATCTATTTATCTTATTATTAATCCAAACCAAATATTCGAAGTCATAATCCTCCGAAATGTGTCCTAGTCGAATATCACTATTGTTGTTTTGTTTACTTAGCTCAAGCTATCTCTAAATGTTACGTTAAACGGCAGAAACATATATTTTAGAAGTTTTTTTTAAAATAAAAACTAAGTTAAAAAATGTTCTAGTAAAAGTAGACGACACTTAGCACCTCATTTCAAACCCAACCCTACTTTACATAAACCAATACCACCATAACTTACACTAGATTAGTCGGTTCTTGTAGTTAGCTGACGCCAGAGTAAATGACAGTTACCCTGAGAAGTTAATTTTCCAGTACGCGCCGCCAAATTTGATGCCGGAACCCTTTAAGAGACTACTTCCATTTTGATGAGAGGGGGATGACATCTCATAGATACATGTTTAAGAGGCTCATTGCTAGGAAAACAATCTAAAACTGAAATTCTAAGTTTTTCCATTGTGTAACTGATACATACATTATAATATCCTGTACCATATTTTTGTATCTTTTACTTGTGATCTGATAGATTGACATATCTGTGAGAAAAAACCATTTTATGGAGACACATAGGTATATTACTCCGAAATAATTATCTAAGATTTCAAAAGTAACGAGCAACAGTAGTTGTTGACCTTTATAAATTCGTTACGTTATCAAGCACAATGCCTGAACCTGATTATTTTAGCTTCAAATCTGACACTTCGTCATCATCATCACAAGTGAACAAACTTAATAAGTATTACAAACTCGATACGAATGTCTCGTTGGCACCTCAGAAGGATTTGACAATACCATTAAGCCCTGGATCTAAAGCTCTACACGTTCCCAATTCAGCTAGTCTCACAAATGCACTTAGTATAAATCAATTTATTGCCCCAGCCCAGAATAATGTTAGCCTTATGAGACAGCAAGGAAAGAGAAGCACTTCAAAGAGCGGTCTTTCATACCAAAGTTCATCAAATAATTCATCGGCTCATTCTAGCAGGCGACCTTCTGCTGGAAATGTGACAAACACTCTTAATAAGCTTACCTCTCCTGCAAAAGTAAATATGAAAGTAGAGACAAGCGATCAAATACCGCACCAGAAACGTTCTTTGACTCATGGTTCAAACTCTGAATCTAACGTAAGTACACCAACGTTAGTGTTACCACCCGATTTGGCAAGTTTAAACACCAAAAAATCTTCTACAATGTTACATTCTCCACAAATTCCAAACACGTTACATCGATCACCTTCCATGCATGATACTACAGGTAGTGTTCATACAATGGCAGGTACACCTCCTCAAGAGACACTCTCTTCTACTTCATCTACAAGGTCTGTCATAATGGCTCAAACAAGCGCAGGAAACTTAAGAGCATTTAAGAAGCAATACGTATTGAATGAGAAATTATACCTAGAGAAAATCAATAATGCATTACATAGTGACGACTATTATACACGAAAGATAGGACTTTCATCACTAAATGATGATTATGAGGACTTTGACATTGACATTGATGATCCGTTCAGCGGACATCCCGGTTCTTCTTCAAAGACAGGTTCAGATGAAATAGATTTCGGAACGACATTCTCTACTTCCAATTCTCTTTCAAATAAAGGAAACATAGTTTCAATTAGCCCCCGATACTTATTCCACCAGTTGCAATGGGTAAAAAAGAGTAATCCTGAAGAAACAGAACTGATATCCCTACTGGGTAAAATACAGAAAACAGAATACAAATACATGATAAAACAACAAAAATTGTTGGATAATAGGCCTGAAGAGCCAAGAGCAGGTACAAGTTCACTAGATGATACTTTTATTGATACTATGCACAATACAGAACATGACTATATGGAAGAACTATCTACATTTCCCATTATTTCTGAACGTTTGAATTGGCAAACAATGTTATCAAATGTTTTAAAAGGGGATATTGTTATGAGTGAAAAAAGTAAAATAGCTGAACAAATCAAGAATCCTGCATTGAAGAAACAAATAAGTGACGATATATGGTATGAATTGAAAGGATGGATGAACGGTAAAAGTAAAGATGAAATAGCAAAGTCCGTTAAATTACTGAGAGACTCAGCAGACGAAGTGTTTGATGAAGTTTTAACTTTTAGAATAGATGAAAAAATGACTAATGATACAGACCAAATACAACTTGAACTGGAACAAATTACCAACAAATATTATAGAACAATTGATTATTGGCCCAGTTTGAAACAGATGAAGAAAGACAAACCTATAACAAGGAACGAAAAATTCATCAACAGAATCGCTGTTTTCAATAGTTGGTTAAATATAAAGAAAAACAGCGATATTAAAATACAACAACTAAAAGACTGGGTAGGTAACGAAAACCTGGATGTCGCAAAACAAGCGACTACACCTATGAGCACGTCTGCACCTTCTCTCTACGCCCATTCGACCAGATCATTTGCTGAACAAGTAATGAAAGAAAAGGATATTGAGAATATATTTGAAAAGAGAATATTTTCTCCCTTGGCACCCTGGTTGGCTAAAAGTAAATCCGTACTAATCCAATACGAAGATACATTGGAGACGGTAAACATACAGTTTGACGGCGTGGTCTTAAGTAAATTACTACTGTTCCCAATGAAGCTTGTTAAAGAAATAATAATTACCAGATTATCATACGCAAAAAAACTTAAAGATCCAACCATGATGATGATAGATCAAATGATAGAGGATTTTACTTCTTATATAAAGCTTTCTGTACAAATAAAATGCGCGTTAGTGGAATATTGCGATGGTATGCCTATGAGTATCGATATTGACCCAGATTTCGATAAAACAGTTCTAGATGCCATAAGTTATTTGTTTACATTATTACATTCCAAGGTTCTTGATGGAAGAAAAGCATCCCTACGGACATTCAGGGAACCGGAAATCCTCTTAAAATATTGGGATGAGTTGAAGAATGTTGGACAGTATATCGACAAAGCAGGAAAACTTATTGCAAATGAGTTTAATAAACTAACATTAAGAATATTACACAAATTGCATGCTTATTTATTGCAACAACAAGACCACCCTCCAAAATTCGGTAACTCCACAGAGGCAGAAAAATGGTTAGTTGAAGTCTTTGAAAACCTAGGCTCGATGAAGCGTAAGTTGAATAGATTCACGAATGTTTTAACTAGAGCCTTTCAAAATTCAGTTAATTATGAAATTGATAATTATAAGGATTTACTAAACAACCTGAAGGAATCAGGTCACTTTTTGATATACACTGGTGGAAGTCTAGAAGTGAATGGCGTTTATCTAATTGGAAGTCCAGAATTATTAGGTTGCCAGGATGAACAAATTTTGAGAATTTTGAACAACTCAGATATTGGCAGTGACTTGATACCAAAATTAGAAAAGGACAACAGCCTAGCAGCATATAATAACGTTGAAGATTATTTTGAAACGTATGCACTCTCTCCATCTGGTAGCCACAAACAACAGTATAACTACCAACAATACAATGGTTATGAAGAAAATGTTAGAAATATCAATGGATCAATGGGAGGTAAGGTGAACAAGAACTTAAATGATGCTGACTCAGATTGGGATCAAGTTAATGTCTCCGGTGTACACTCAAGTGCAGCCTTCACTCACGACTATAACGATGTTGAAAAAGAGATGTTAGAATTAGAGCTGAAGTTACATTCCTTAGGATACATACTTGTACTATGTCCTGCACATCCAATGCTATGGGAAGGTGATATGTACAATCTGTCAAGTGAGAACCCGTTACAATACGAAAAGTTCAAACTAAAATTAAAGACTAATAAACTGGCACTACTCAATCAAGGGTCTAGCTATGCCTTAGAATATCAAACAGACAAGTTCCAACAAATTGCACAAGATACAGTGTCGTTTATAGAAAGAAGATGCTCATTCAGCTCTATCGAGAGTAATTTACAGAGGATTAACAAAGCCTACTTTAGATTCACCTATAATGTGCTGAATAATTACATCAAATTTTACAATACTTTTAAAAAGGTTTGCACAAATCTTGAGTCCCTAAACAGCATATTTTTATTTACCAGAGATTTTGGGACATATTTTCTAAAGGTAAATATTGCTAACTTTGAGAAGAAATCTGTAATCATATTATTAATGGTGAGACTAAGTATCAGATGGTTGACTTTTATTACCGATGAATGTGATCCTACTGATCAAAAGACTTTCAGATGGTGTGTACCAGCGATGGAATTTGCAATGCATATGACTAGTGGCCACAACATTATGGCTTTAGATGAGAGTCAATTCGTAACACTTAAACAAAAAATTGCAGCTTGCATGTCATTATTAATATCACACTTTGATGTAATGGGGGCACGTGCTGTAGAAGACGAGAAGATGAATCCACAACAAAGAATCAATATTAGCATACATGAAGACTTCGATGGTGATGCGACTCTAGCATTAAACTCAGAACTTCGTTTAGAGGCCATCAAGAGATTAGAAAGTTCGAGTACATCAAATTCAAGACTTGTTGGGAAAGTTTTGGACGATGCAGACAAGGGGAACAAGTATTTATTATCTCTTGCATCCTCTCTGTCAAATGTTTCAATCAGATGGCAAAAGAGAGATTTTGTTGGAGGTGGTACTTTTGGTAAAGTTTACTCTGCAATTAATCTGGATAACGGTGACATTTTAGCCGTCAAAGAAATCAAGATCCAGGATGGTAAAGCCATGAAGAAAGTATTCCCCTCGATTAAGGAAGAAATGGAGGTTCTAGAAATGTTGAATCATCCAAATATTGTACAATATTATGGTGTTGAAGTCCACAGGGAGAAGGTAAATATTTTCATGGAATACTGTGAAGGCGGATCATTAGCGAGCTTGTTAGAACATGGCAGAATAGAAGATGAGATGGTCACCCAGGTATACACTCTTGAACTACTTGAAGGTCTAGCCTACCTACACCAATCTGGGGTTGTACATCGTGACATCAAACCTGAGAATATTTTATTGGATTTTAATGGTGTCATCAAATATGTCGATTTTGGTGCTGCTAAGAAAATTGCAAGAAATGGCACTATGATGGGTCACCTAAGTGTTGGTAATAGTATTGATAGTAGTAACAAAACTACCAATGGAAACGGCAAAAGAAGCCAAGAAAATACACGTGAGGAGATCCCAACAGGTTTACAAGAAATGATGGGTACTCCAATGTATATGGCGCCAGAATCAATAACAGGATCCTCTAACAAGGGGAAGTTCGGAGCGGACGATGTATGGTCGCTTGGTTGTGTAGTTCTCGAGATGATTACTGGTCGCAGACCTTGGTCTAATCTAGACAATGAATGGGCGATCATGTATCATGTTGCAGCTGGACATATTCCACAACAGCCAGCGCCAGATGAGGTGTCTACTTCTGGAAGACTTTTCTTGAGTAAATGTTTAGTACAAAACCCAACCAAGAGAGCTACTGCTGTCGAATTACTAGTCGACCCTTGGATAGTTGAAATTAGGGAATTGGCATTTGGACCAAGCGAAGATACACAAACGACACTATCCATTCCATTAGAGAAGGAGTCCCAGCAAAAACCTGCCATTGAGACAGAATAATGTTAACTAGATATATATAGACATACGTAGTCATCACATAGCCTGTAATTTGGTTTTTTATATATTCACATATGTATCAATAAAATCCTCATAGAAGTAAATAAACTTTCATAAGAATTAGAACATCTTCTCTCGACAGAACGAAGGGAGGAACCATTGCATTTGGATATTTATCAAGATGGAACGAGTGATTGCTCAACGTTTCCTTTAAGTTTGTGATAGTGTTTTGATTTTGTAAGATATGTAATAAAGTTACTAAATTGCTTGAATCTTATATTATATCTCATGAACAATAATATTTTGAGAAATTGGTAAATGGATAATTCTTTTATCCAAGTTAATAATCTTCGCACATCAATTGTTTGATTTCATATCTGATGTCTCCCAAAAAGTTAAAAATTTCCGATCTCGCGACATTTATCTGGACTGAAAATTCTACTGAAAAATTTTCTTGCGATGAGATGAGCTGCGATAACTATACAAAGGAAGTCACAATCTCCGATACTTGATAGAATTATAACAGTCTAACACTATTCTGTGACAACCAAACAAGACCATCTAATCGACATAAATTAAAATGGCTACGCAATTACCACCACCAACCAAGAAACAAAAGAAAGAGGCTCAACAACCTCGTGATATTGGTTTAGTACCAGAGGGGTTGCCAAACATATCTATTAAATTCCAAGCTTTAGATACAGGTGAGACTGTAGGTCATTCTTTGAGAGTACCAGCAGGAATAACTGAAAAACAACTAGAAGAATTATTAAACCAGCTGAATGGTAATAGCGATGATCCTGTACCATACACGTTTAGTTGTGATGTTCCAGGAAAGAGAGCATCTGACCCACAACAAACAGTTGATATAGTGGATACTCTTTATTCGTCTCTTTTAAAACCGGGCCACAAGACTTCTGAAGATACTGTAACATTAGTGTTTACTCCGAAGGCTGTCTTTAAAGTAAGAGCCGTGACTAGAAGTTCCTCTGCCATTGCAGGTCATGGTTCTACCATTCTATGTTCAGCATTTGCACCTCATACAAGTTCACGAGTTGTCACTGGTGCTGGTGATAACACTGCTAGAATCTGGGATTGTGACACTCAAACACCAATGGCAGTACTGAGTGGCCACACTAATTGGGTACTATGTGTTTCATGGTGTCCCGATGGTGACTTGATTGCTACAGGGTCAATGGATAATACTATTAGACTTTGGGAGTCCCAACATGGGAAAGCAGAGGGAGATGCATTGAGAGGTCATCACAAATGGATTACCTCATTGGCTTGGGAACCTGTTCATCTTGTAAAGCCAGGTGAAAGACCAAGGTTAGCATCTGCATCAAAGGATGGTACAATCAAGATTTGGGATACAACTAGAAGAGTATGCCTATATACTCTAAGTGGTCATACTAACTCTGTTTCCTGTGTGAAATGGGGTGGCCAAGGTCTTTTGTACACAGGTTCTCACGATAAAACTGTTAGAGTATGGGATATGAAACAAGGCGGAAAATGTATCAATATCTTAAAGAATCATGCACATTGGGTGAACCACTTGTCTCTGTCGAGTGACTATGCCTTAAGGATTGGTGCTTTTGATCACACAGGTGTGAAACCAAGTACACCACAAGAAGCCCAAGCGAAGGCACTGGCCAATTACGAGAAAGTTGTCAAGAAAAATGGTACCCTTGAAGAATTGATGGTTACTGCCAGTGATGATTTTACGATGTTTTTATGGAACCCAACAAAAACTACGAAACCATTAGCTAGAATGACTGGTCACCAAAAACTAGTGAATCATGTTGCATTCAGTCCCGACGGTAGAAATATTGTCTCTGCATCATTTGATAATTCTATTAAGTTATGGGATGGACGTGACGGGAAATTCCTGGCTACCTTTAGAGGTCATGTTGCTAGTGTTTATCAGGTTGCGTGGTCCTCTGATTGCCGTTTGTTGGTGTCATGCTCTAAGGATACTACGTTAAAGGTTTGGGATGTTAGAACACGTAAACTTTCCGTCGATCTTCCGGGTCATAAAGATGAAGTTTACACTGTAGACTGGAGTGTAGACGGGAAACGTGTCTGTAGTGGTGGTAAAGACAAGATGGTTAGACTTTGGACCCATTGAACCAAGTTTATCACAAGAAATTGTCCTTCTATATATATATGTATCATTTGTTTCGGACTGCTGAAGCTATTTATAGCAATAAATAATAAAAGATAGCACCTAAATAGTAGTCTGGAAACACAACATGATAGTAATCCTACATTTACTAGGTCACGATGTTAAAAATCGAGCCCTCATTTCAACCTCTAAAAAGCAATTAAAAGCATATAGAATGAAAGGAATATCTTGAAAGTGAAATCGTTAGATCAGCTTATGGTCCTGATTAAAGTATTATTACTATATGCATATTTTTTAACAAGAGCCAAGTTAGGAAAATACCCATAAAATGAGGAAAGTAGGATAATACAATTGTTTTCTAGTGATGTAAGATACTATTATCCGACAATAACAACATTTTGCGGAGTCACACACTGTCTAGTCCACAAGATGCACTTTATGGTGGTAATTCTTCCAAATAAATTTTAATCATTTTGTATCTCTTATGATTAGAAAATTAAACTTGTAGAACTACGGTACTTCATGAATACTGGAACATATTATTATTATCACACTGCTCAAATCTAACGACTACTATTACTTTGAATGTTCAAAACATACTTTACATCGAAGATGAATGCCCTAACACTGAGATGAATCTTCCTCAGTATCCCAGTAACAAATACCATGTTTATTTCTGCTGTCAAAATAAAGGATACCAAATATCAATCACTGCAATATCGAAAAGGAGGTATTCTATAGAACGAATGATATAAAGATCGGAAATACATTTGAAGAATGAAATTATATTTTATCAGCGTGAGAATACTAATATATACTGCTATAATTGCTCTATACATAGTTTTTCTTTTTATTGACACTAGGGAAGTGATAAGATTATATGCAAATCTTGTACCAATATAGCTAAGCGTGACGTATGATAATATATCTACATTTTCTCCAACTGAAGTTCAGATTTGGATGAAAGCAACGGGTGGATAGAGACACACACAAACACATTTTAATATATATATATACTGGCCAAAGAACAATGTTGGACTGGCAAAACAAGTTACTAACACCAAATTCTGGTACTGAATATCAAGAGATGTTCCACAGGGCTAATGATCAAGATGAAGAAACGGACCCTGGTGGATACGGGGTGCAAATGTCGTTAACCATATCATCCCATCCACTACTTGCCCCATATCGTGACAACGCAAGAAAATTTAACCAAACTAGGTTGTCGAGGCATCACTTTGAAAGCCCAGGGGTCTGGAATATTATATGCAAGAAACCGGCGGGACCCCAAAATTGCCCATCCATAATTGTCAGAGGAAACCAACCTTCTAGTCGTGTTTACGTAATGACGTGCGATAAGAGCTTCTTCCAAGAACTGAAGTTTTCAAGCCTGTCAGATATTTTTGTATTTCCTTTTATAATTTCAATTGAGAGCTGAAAAGGAAAACTATGAGCTTTTTTATTTTTTTATTTATTTCACTCTCATCCCTGGTAAGAGCATTGCTTGAATTACCAAAAATAACGTTTATAGAGGTATTGATTTGTATAACGTTCTGCCTTAGGTAGGGGGAGTTCCACACTCTTCTGAAAACGTATAATTCGTAAGCTTGAATATTCTATGTATCTAACGACCCTACTTTAAATGCAACAATATATCATCTAAAAAATTATCTTGCGAATAAATTTTTAGAATAAGCTATCTGAGAGAAAATTACATCTACTCAAATTAAGATTAGTTGCCTAATTGGTATGTTGCAATTGGTTCTTATTGCTATTTTATAATCATTGGTATTCCAGTTTTGGATTTAGAAGTTGTCACCTTGTATATAATCACTTTACACGAAGCGAGACGTACCTTTTACAAAATTAAAACAAATATCAAAGGGAAACTGCTAATAGGACAGATTAATAACTCTTATTAAAGAAAACGCTATCTTGAGTACAGATGCAGAATCACAAACAATCTAGCGAGAAAGAAAGTGGCAATCAAGAAGGATGAACGTTTTAAGAGGACAATGCCATCAAATAGTACAGACCAGTATACGATTTCAATCGACTGTAGCCGCAGGGAGACTGAAAACAATTAACAAGGGACTGTTCCCCAAATTAGAAGACATCTCCGTTAATGATTTGATCTCTGAGAATATTTTATTTGAAAAAGGCAGATATTTTATTGCCAGGAGTAAGACTGGGAACCTACCTGTATATTCCGACACTAAAGGTGGTGGTAACAAATTTGTTACTGAGATAAGAAAGATCCAAGGTGATGTTGTCCAGTTACGTAATGACCTACAAGAACAATTGCCATTTATCCCTGAAAAGAACTGGAAAGTATTGACGCAATCACGTAAGATCATTATTAAGGGAGATGCAGTGAAACAAGTTAAAGGTATCCTAACTAGGACTTTCTAACTGATGAAAAATAAACTGTTTTGTTTTGCTCTTTTTTTGAACTTTCAAAGCATTTTGTATATTAATTCGAATAAACTATATATTCATGTAAATACTACTAAAGAGAAAATAAATATAATTAAAATATCTCTGATAATAACTAATCTACCTCATGGAAACGATTTTACTATTCTTTCTTAGAATAGCGTCCTTATAGTTGTACAGACCGAAACAAACAGCAATAACAGCAAGCACAATCAGAATATTCTTTAGTGCTGAACTAGAGTAACTGTCGTATAGAACAGTATCTGAAGTAGCTTCTTTAGATGTATAGACCTTAACTGGAGCCAGGGATTCAGCTAGAGTAACACCCTTAGAAGAGTCTCCAGCTCTAAATGCAGCCAAGTCATCTAAATACTTTTGATGTACAACCTTTTGTTCACCTAGTCTGAATTCATCAGGGACAGCCCAAACAATCTTAAATGGTTTTAATGGTCTTCCATCAGTATCCTTCTTCACATATTGAATAATGTCTATAAGTTCCTTTAGACCAGCAGATATTTGACCGAAGACAACATTCTTGTTGTCTAATCCACTATTTGGTGTGGTCTTGGTATCGAAGATAAACTCAGAGTTGTTGGTATCTGGTTCTCCCTTGTTTGCCATAGAGACTCTACCTGGTCTATCATGCTTTAAGTCAAAGTTTTCATCAGCCCAAGCACCACCATGAATGGAAAATGGACCATAAGCTGGAGCAACAATACCACCTTGCATGAAGGAGTCAATGACAACATTAGTAAAAAGAGTTTCTCTGTATGTAATAACATGAATTTGGTTTGGATCTTGACCTTCAACACGAGCCTTAACACCCTTGGCTAAGAAAGCAAAATTCTTAACGGTTAATGGGACAACGGTACCATACAAGTCAATATTCAAATTATGTCTCATTGGTTTTTCAGTTAGCGGATCTTCATATTCAACAGTCATATAAACACGATGGGTCACTGGTGGATTAGGTTCATACAACTTTGTCAAGTCAATATCTTCAGAATATTTATGTGAACCCTCAGTTGGTGCAGCCAGCACCAACGAGATTACCCACATAAGGGTATATATAGCAGATCTGATGGTTAACATTATTCAATTTGCTGTGGATTATTTAACCAAGATAAAAAAAATAGCTAATGTTTGTAATAAATCCAACGATATACTTAATATAAATACTAAAGTTGTGTTAATGATAAGTTTAAGTAAACCATTATTGAAAATTCAGTACATCTTTGGTTTGTTTTCTGTTTTTCTTCGTTTTTTTGCTTATTGCAGCACTACGTAGTATTTTTTTTTTCCTTCCTTCGTCGTTATGAACAGCTAGTTCTTCCTCCAAACTCAGCCTATATTGAATAATACGCGTCGCGTATACAACGAGATGCAACTATGTACGATAGTGAGAGCAACTTAACTCTTGGCAGATTGTTACTCACGAATGTCTCGTTAATGTATTCATCCTAATATCTGCTTTTGTAGCGGACGGGATTGCCGTCTCACTAGATATCTCTGTGTCTGGAACGGTGGCCCAAGCAGTACATATGCCAAGCCAGTTTCTTCCAATGCATACAGATGTTGAATGTTCTGCTGTTGTTGTACTGACTTCTGTAGTAGTAATTTTCTTGTGGTTACGATCAGGCCAAAAATCCCAATTGTAACAATCGACACAAGGCTCAGGTACAACACATTCTGCTGTCTCATTATATACAACTAAAATCTGATCTATCACTGTGTGGATTCTATGATTAAACATATTAACATGCCAACCTTTATCTTTTACTACGTCGTATACGCATACTTGCCCCGAATGACATGATGTCTCCATAGCATATCCAGCTATCGAACATGATGAACTAGCACCATTACAAGTTCCCAAAAAGATGGGATCTGCACTGTGTCCGAAATTCCACACGGTATCTTGGTATTGAGGTAAACCAGGAGGAAATGGCAAATGCAGTCTCTTAGCGGCAAGTAATTCACCTGGTGCCTCAAATGTTACGACTGGAAGACCGAACGTCCTTCCAACTAATGCGGCTAGAGCTCCACCAAGTGAATGTCCTGTCATCCAAACAGTTGCCGTTGGGTATCGTACTATAACATCCGCATATATATCTATCACAGCTTGATAATAACGATCTTTTTGTCTTATTTCTTTTTCCAGGCAGGATTCATCACATGTATTAGATTTGATATAACAATCACACACTGTATTCCATAAGTAACTCACTCTTGCACAACAGCATGAAAACAACAGATTATCGTTTAATTTATCATTGGTGGTAGTCTCATCATCACCAGCTCCAGGAATTCCCTGTGCACTGGTACCTTTTATGGAAATTACAACAATATCATCTTTTCTATTATAGAAAATGTGACCTCTTAACCCTTCACCGTCCCAACCAAATCCATCTGTTTCTTTATGATCCCAAGGTTGGGTAACATTACGCCAATCTCCGGTATGCGGAACTCCAACATATGCATTTGACGACATAAGCGCAAGACCGATCACAGAATCCTTATCGGTGATGTTTGGAACCCTTATGAACTCGTCTATCCATTCGGGTATAACTTGCCTGCCAACATCACTAGCTAAAAACTCTAGATACGTTGGATCCCGGTTTTTCATTCTGGGAACAGCCTTACTGTCTTGACTTATCTTGAATTTGTATGAGAAAGGGTCAGTAGTCCTATAACGAGGATTCGTAGACCAAAGAGTTTCTCCATCATGGGATTCCTTCATCAACTGTGCTTCTTGCATTTGAAAGAGTAAGTTTGCTTGGGCGGCTACTGTCTCTGATATCTCGAGAGTTTGGTGATGTTTGTAGTATTTTCCAACACCATGACGGTGTACCTCCTGTAAAACAAAATATGATTCATTATTATCTGTACCTTGTTTAACATGATGTAGATATTTTACAGGTACTATATCCAATTTAGGGCAGAACTGGTATACAATGAATATCGTCAGAACTATACAAACAGTTACAACTCGACTTTTTACTCGGTGTCGACCACTCTGCATACCTTTGAGCTTATTCATTACTTGTAGACTTCGAGTATCCTAGGAAATACACACACAAAGTTCAACAAATGGCTGTAAAGGCTTCTTGATAAAGGGGTGATCAGTCCAAAAATAACTGTATCTCCTCCTTTATCAACTTTGATAACTTGTAAAACCTTCTAAGAAAACTTCCTGAATCTAAAACTTCCAGAATCAATATATAATAGAAAGGATGAATGTCACTGGACCCAGAACTCTTTCTCTCACTGTAAATAAAATTTTGATGTCAAATATCAGAAAAAGTCTCACACTTTAGGGCTGTCTCTTCTCTTGAGCGATACAATTAGCTTTTCGCTAAAAAGCTTAAAAAAAAAGTGTTAGCTGGTTGAAAAAAAAAAAAATAGTTAAACTCGACTCATTTTAAACAATTTGTACTTCCAATCCTATATGAACAACTGGATACCAGAACTTAACATCTCGATTACAATAGTTCAACAGTGCATTGCCGATAATGACCTTGAAGAATACCACTTATAACTTGGGGTATCCTCTGTATGGGGCCAAGTTTGTCAATGAAAACGTGTTAGTTGTGACCGGTGGAGGTGGCAGGGATCAACCTGGATTACGCAGTAAATTGACCGCTTTAAAGATAGATTTCACGAAGAAGAAGATTGTGAAGAGGTTCAGGGAGATTACTCTCGACAGTTCAGACGATTCTCCAACTACTTTAGATGCTGCTAAAGATGTGATTTTATTAGGTTGCAATGAGGGTGCAGATAAAATCGCAGAGACCGGAGTGAATCATCATATCAGGAAATATGTTTACCAGAACGATCATTTACAATTCACAGCAAGTATTGATTTTGATGGGTCTGCAGATTCTGATATATATACTAAATTGACTGCGATTTCGCCTAACGGCGCAGCTGCCGCCATTGCTTCGTCAGTGGTTCCGACTCTAATTAGAGTAATTAACCCTGTAGATCTTTGTCAAAAATATGAGATACAAACTGGTAGGGATGTGAGAGATCTTGCCTTTTCATTAGATGGTCAATTACTAGCTTATGTGACACCAACCGGTCTTGATGTGGCCTCCATTGCATCTGGTGAATTTGTTATCAAGAAAGCAGATTTTGAAAAGAACTTGATCTTCTCTAAAATTAGATTTATTTCAAACGATACTGTTTTGATTGCTGCCACATTTACAGAAAAGCCTGGTGGCGTATTATTAAAAGTGAAATTCAACAAGACCGCAGGCAAAATAATTCTAAAGAGACAAATATCTGACAGATTGGGTTCAATTACAGCTTTTGAAGTCGATACTAAAAATGAGTTTGCTGTCTTAGCAACTAATGAGAACGCTGTAGCTATCTTTAAGATTAGTGACTTATCTGGCATCGAGTCATTTAGGAACTTACATGAACTACTAATCACAAGAATTGCTATCTCTCCAGACTCGAAATTGATTGCCACAGTGTCTGCAGGAAATACCGTTAATGTTATCTCCAAGACCAACGGTTCTATGGGATCATTCCTTTCTTTGATCAAAAAAATATTAATTAACCTAGTGCTAGTGGTTGCAGTAGCTGCTTTAACAAACATTGCTTACAAGAATAATCTACATTTAAAATCTTATGAATTTGCCAAGAGGAAGTACCTTGAAAGAAGAGATACCGGAAATGATGTTATCCCTGATGTTATCGAACCTTGGGATAATTTGGTAACAACAACGAATATTATTCAAGATGATATTGTAAGTATTTCATCTTACACAAGTTACGAACCTCAAGAAAAATTTTCAATCAACATCGATGATTTTGTCACACCTTCCACTACGCTACACACCCCAATAATTAGTATTTCATCACCAAGTACCGAACCATCATCTATTTCCACTATAGCAACTGTTGCATCATCAACATCATTACCACTTGATGAGATTTTGGAGACATATTCTTTCGACAGGCATTTGGAGATGCCAACCTTCAATGAGGAGGAACTTTCAATGATGAAAGAGAACTCTGCTCACGGAGTATCCAAATCAATAAAGGATGCAATAGAGCCTAAGGTATCAATGATAGAATCCATTACTGTTTCTTCCACAAGTACCGAAGTTGTTACTACAGAGACAACTTCGTCTTCATTGAAAACGGAGAAAGAAATTTCCTCTCAGTCGATTATCTCATCATTGACGACGAAGGCGGCCATCTCCTCTGAGATTGCTGTCTCATCATCAATGACAGATGAGGAAATATCTATTCATTCAAGGACTGAATTAAAGCCTGCTTCAAAAAAAGGCAGCGTGACGATATCAAATGCAAAAGAAAGTGTTCCAATTAATGATATATCTACAGAACGCCCCAAAACTAGAATTACAGTTCCTCAAGGGATCAATGAAGAAGAAACAGAGACCAACCGTTTACCAATTAGTTCAGATAATGACCCATTATTTAACAGTATTTCGTTGACTTCGTCTTCTACTATTTCTATTGTTTCTGAAAAATCTGGTACTTCGGAACTAAGACACTCTCATTCACAAAGTAAAGTACTACCTACTGTTTCGTTCGATGAAACGAGTGAGTCCTTAAATCTAGAATCATCACTATCATTACCATCATCACCATCATCACCATCACCATCATCACCATCACCATCACCATCATCACCATCACCATCATCACCATCACCATCATCACCATCACCATCACCACCATCACCACCATCACCATCACCATCATCACCATCATCTGTTTCTTCTTCTTCTTCTTTGCTTCATCTCGAATCTAAAGATATTAAGGTTGTTGAAGAATTGACATCATCAGTTGTCCCACCACAGACTTCTATTAACGCTCTGTCTTCATATGTTCCATCCAGCTCTGCTAAAACTATATCTGACTCTGCGTCTGTTGTACCATCTGTTGTTCAAACCCTAATACCATCTGTAAAAAGTGAAACAAAATATACATCATCCACAACTTCCATAGCCCCAAGTGCATTGCCCTCTCAGGTAATCGAACAAGGTAAAGAAGCAGTTGAACCTAATACTATCTCTACAACACCATTACTAAGTAAGACAGAAAAATTTAAGTCTACCTCTTCGATGATTATGTCTCTTCCTCCCTCTTCCTCCATTACGGACTTGTCCACCGTATCCGTTGAACAAGAGAAAGAGACAATCTCACCATCTACATTCTCATCTTCCGAGAAAGCAATTAAACAAAAAATCACTATAGATGGTGTTGTTTATGTCGTTGCGTCTACTGAAGATGAAAGTACAGAAACTACTGTATCAACTGAAAGTACACACATTACTGTGAATCCAACCACCTCAGTAGCAACAGATGAAACCACCAAGTTTCAAGTATCTAGCGCAGTTTTATCAGATCCAATTATGTCACAAAATAAATTAACTGATGAGAAGAGCATACTTACTTTTAATTCTGTAAATATTGAGGATACCCAGAAATTGGAAGACAATAGTGTTAGTACATCGTTAGACAATACTGAACTAGAGCCTATGCCTGCAGATTCCAAACCAAACTCGGAGAGTAAATCTAAAATGAAGAGAAATACTTCATTCCCTGAATCATTCCCTGAGCCATCCATCTCATTCACAAATACTGGTATTACGGTGACCAAAATTGCAAAAACAGTGGTGGAAGAAACAATTGAAGTCGAAATTGGTGATATTAAGAAAGTACCTAATAGCCAAATAGAAGAAAGTAGAGAATCCCAGCTCTCATACCCCGTGGAGGTTTCGCAGGTTTTCTCACATAGCTCAGATAATGCTGGAGAGGTAAATTCAGCTCCAATTGTCACCAGTGCACCAATTTTGAACGCACAATTGGCATCTTCCGAAACTGCGTATATTGATACTACAGTTGAATATGATGCATCTTCGGACATTATGGCATATAAAGAGTTAGAAACATCATCCGCTGTCGGCAGTGAACCATCTATAGAACACGATGAATTATGAATAATAGGGTGACCTCTGTATAATAGTATTGCCACTTACAGCAAAAATATATTATAAATAGATATATATGCATTTGTATATAATAATGCTGATATAAATATGCGTTACATCCATACATGTACAAACAGTAGGAATATGAGATACTGGTATATTAAACAATTCTCCAAGTCAATATATTATGGGATATGCACTTGATCGTCAAGTTTTTCAAAAAGATCGTTAGATAAATCTGGATCCGTTAATTGTTCATCTTTAGGGGACTCTTGAATAGGTTCATTTTTGGACAGACGACTAATCTGTCCCTTCTTTGCATCCTTTATGAGTCTTCGAAATTGTTTTCTAAATAACAAACACCATTCTTTTCTATTAAATTTATCAGTCTTGAAATTGTCTAACAACTTTTTATAATCGTGATGTCTATTAGCGCTTCTTGAAACCATTAGGTTACCTATAGATGTCGATGAATTTGCGATATTATGTACTTTACGGGATGTCTCCCAACTTAATAACTGCCGTTTCAATTCGCTCACATCTACTGGATTTAATGAATCACAAAAATTTGAGTTCCATAAAATTTCATAGTAGTTGTATCTTGCCATCATATTTTGCTTCGTTCCAGCCGTGGACAATCCTAAATTCGACAATTTTTGTTTTACTTGTGTTATTGTCATGGAAGGAAGATCTAGTTTAGGCAACCGCTGGTGCTCTGTATCTGTTGTAGAATTTATGTATTTGTCAACATATGATATTTCTTCCTCAACTTCTCCTTCTTCTCGTGACTTCGTGGTACGAAGCCCCCCGGTCGGTATGGATTTCTTTGACGACATTACTGTTGACCTATTTAATACAGGTTCATCCTTATGAGAGGTCTGTTTCAATGAAATCGGTTTATTACCTAGAGATTGTAACGTTAGACATTCATCTAAGTGAGTTCTTTCTAGTTCTTTAACGGGAAAGTATTTCTCACAAATAGGGCACGGAACTAATTCTACGGGTTTCTTCAACATCGAATCAATCCTAGATGCAGTGGAACTTCTCTTGACTGGTATATTTGCTTTGAAATACTTCGACCGTGGTAGTGTTCTCAATGAAGAACTGGCAATATCTGTGTATGTTCTCTTCAAAGACGTCGGTTTGTTGCTTTGTAAAATCTGAATGTCATCACACGTGTCGTCATTTTGATTATCATTTTCAATCAAACTATCTTCAGGACCAGAACCAACCTCGATAATAGAACTATCGGGATCGGGATCAGTAGTTTTCTCCTCTGATTGCCTTAAAATATCCAAGAGTTTGTCTCTAATTACTTTATAACTGTCAACAATCTCACTAACCAAAAATTCACTCCTCAACATCGATTCTCGTAACTCAGTCAAACATAGAGGACACTTGGCCTGTACACTTATATATTCTCTAATGCATAATGAACAGAACGTATGCCCACAAGGAGTAAGAACAGGAACCTTCAGGAAATCCTTACATATGTGGCACCTCAGCAATGTATCTAGCTGTGACAACTTCGGTATCCTCGTATGGGTAAAATCGCTAGCATCGGATATCTGATTCTTCATCTACACTGAAAGTCACTTTTGTTTTGTCTACCTTTGTATAATTATTCAGCTTTAATGGTGTCGCTCTTCTGGTTTTCTTTATTATGTAAGTACAATTTTTAATCACTGAAAAATTTCTTACAAAAGCCATCATATATCAATAATAGCAAAATGTATTAAAATTATGTAAAAATATAAGAAAATAGATAAATAAAGAAAAAAAAGATAGAGAAGCATTAAATGAACATATATCATCACGCATAATATTACAACGAAAAATCGCCCAGGATATGTGCTTTTACTGCAGTAAGATAAAAGAGGGAAAGATGAAGAGAGGACTACCCAGCGGTCCTAGACTCACTCCACACTTATAAAAAGTTGTACCACCTAGCAAACATATCATAACTATAAAACCCAAAAAAATTTAAACCCAGGTATAACTTTAAGATGACTAATCAATAGCTCTTTCAAATAGTTAACCACTAATAATAATAATAATATAAAATAGAAGATTGTAGAATGGCTCTTGGACTATCACGATTTATTGTCTGTGTTAGCCTTAAATGGACGTTCAAGAGTCGTGTCTAGTGTATTTCCATCACTAGAGGATGACCTTTCCGTGGCTCGTTGCCAAACAGAGTATACATCTACCCCGAAAAGACCGCCACATGCCAATTTAGACTTTATTGGTTCGTTTTGCGTTTCACCATTAATCTTGGAAGGCGAGAATTTTTTCAACAAGGTTGAACCACCAGGTGTTGCACTGACCTTTGAAGAAGTGCCCATTGCCTTAAATATTGGCGAAGAATATATGTCTTCGAATAAATGTGATGGAGTTTGCCATCTCTTTAAAAGGGTCTCATTATCCTTAGGGGTAGCCATGAACCTACTAGGGGATCTTTCCAGACTTTGGGATCTCTTCAATTCTGGTGTCTTCAGCAAGTTTAATTGTTCTGATTCAATAGTAGAGATATTGTTATGTGTTCCTGAAGGGAGCAACTGGGTAAATTTGTCAGAGTTGGCAGGAGGAATTGAGGAATTAGCAAACGGTCCCAACAATCCCTGATTACTATTCGTGGTACCATTTTCCATATTTTTAAAGGGACGTGGTGATAATTCTTCAAAACTAGAGTTGAAAGAACCGATATAACGTTTTGAGTTTTGAGGAGACGACATCAAACCTGTTTTTGAATGAGATACAGATAAGTTATTGTTTCCGAGATATTCATTAAAGGACACAAACTCCTTGGATGGGGGAACCAAAAAGGTATCAGAAGTAGGCTTGAATCCTAGTGTAGTGTGATTTCTCCTCATAATATTATTACCAAATACAGTTCCGATCATATCCGTTTTTGTTATATCATTGTAGTTTTGCTTATCATTCAATCGCGTATTCCTCACAGGTGTGCGAATGTTTGATTCCTGCATAGAAGCTAACTGATCTTCCGTAGTAAATATAATAGAAGGTGCAGATAGGACTGTTGTGGAGGCACTTTGTTCAAGTCCTGGGGTTGGCGATGACGCAATAGAAGCCGAGTCTTCACTCTCTGAATTAGATGTTTCTAACGGTGATCCTATTTCAAAATACTGATCGATTTCACATATCCTTTGACGAATGACATCGTATCCATCTGTATCGCCTTTAAAGAATTTTGGCATCGAAAGAGGTTTTACTTCCCAAAAATGACCTTTTCCATCTGAAGATTTTTGGGTCTTAATAAATGCTTCATTTAATGATAGATTGTGTCTAATAGAATTTTGCCAACTGGCATCTTTCAATTTATAAAATGTGAAATGAGTTGAAATCCATTGATAAATTTGAGATAATGTAAGCCTTCCTTCTTGTGATTGTAAAATTGCTAAACAAATCAAAATTGCATAGGAATAAGGTGGTTTTTTTTCCAATTCATTGTTAAGTTTTCTCTTTTCTAGTGACAAAAGTACTTCGGTCAGAGAAAGGTTCCCATTGGAACGCGGGCAACCTTCTGATCTTTGCCTCTTTGCTGTAGGAGCAATTGGCGAAGACTGAATTGGGGACATTGGTTCTTTACCATCATCCAGTTTCCTAACTAGTTGCTTTTTGCTTTTTCTTACTGTAGAGTTTGGTGGTGTTATAATATCGTCATTAATATCCTGACTTCTTAGATCGAAATCAAAAGAACCTCCAATTGACTTCTTCATGACACTAGACGCTAATGGTGACGATGCATTGAATGCATCATTGTAAGAAGGTGAAGTTGCTTCTACCTCCATACTTGTGGTTGTCGTTTTTCTATTTTTTCTTGTCTGTCTCAAATTCAAATAAAATCGTAGAAATGTGCAATATTTCGATCAAGCAGAAACGAAAATGCGAAACTTGTATAAAAAAACTCACTTGTCGAAAGTTACTAATAGTTTAAGTCTATACTTACGCCTTCAAGTAGAGCTCTTTTTCCAATTATCTATCTTTATATATAAGTATATATAAGTTGTGATCGAACCCTGTGGGAATCCAAAAATAAAATAGAAAAAGAAGAACTGTAACGCGTCGAATATAATCACCTTCTATATGGAATTGCCTAACCTCAAAAGCAAAAAAAAAAAAGTGAAACGAGGGGTTAGAGAAATCGTTACCATCAAATGTTTGGAACTAATCTTGTTACTTCCTTATGGAAGTGGTTGGTAATCCTTTATAAGAATTCTAA